GATGATGATGATGATGATGATGATGATGATGATGATGAGGAGGAGGAGGAGGAGGAGGGCGGCCCACGGGTCTGGGCCCCCCAGATTTACCGAGCACGGTCCACTACTTGCAAAGTGTTTGCTCGCAAACGTCAGAAGGAATACGTGCTGGCCTCGACGTTGTGGATCGTACATCCTCCGCGGCGGATCCAGGCCGTTTGCGAGTAGTTGCTTTGCGAGTAGTGGAGCGCGCTTGTCCACAGATGGGCGACGCAAAGCACGGGGTTGATTCGGCAACGCGCAAAATGGGGGTATGGGGAAGGGGAAAAGCTTCTTGGAAGCACCCCTGCTTCATAGAAGGCGCGGGCCTTAGCTACAGATGTAGGGCTGGCGCCCTCTAAGAAGCAGCTTCCTTCTAAGAAGCCTTCCCCCCTCCCCCTACCCCCCTGTGCGCGCCGCCAATCGATTGCGGAGGGCGCCAGCCCTACATCTGTAGAGAAGGCCCGCGCCTTCTAAGAAGCATGGGTGCTTCCAAGAAGCCTTCCTCCTTCCCCCTGCCCCCCTGTGCGCGCCGGCAATCGATTGCGCCGACATTCGCGCGTAAGCTGCCCACGTGAGGTCGCCCGTGAGCGCCGTGGCTTTCGATGCAGCGCGCCGCGCCGGCGGCCCTCGTAAGCTGCGGCGTAAGGTCGCTATGCTCTCTCGCGCGAGACCCGTTTCTCTTCTGCGTCTCTCAAAGGGGGGTCCGAGCAGATGGGGTCGGAGGATCTCGCCACATCGGCGATGCTGACTAGAGCCCGATTTTCGTCACATCGGCGTCGCCTATGCATCGGTTGCGTTGCATCTTCAGGGGACCTCGCCTGTCCCCCAAATTGGTGTCTTTGCTTGTGCCCGACGCGGGCTCGATGCGGACTCGACGCGGATTTGGCGTGGATTCGACGCGGATTCGACACGGATTCGACACGGATCCGGCGCGCTCGACGTGGATTCGACACGGATTCGATGCGGATGTCGGCGCGACGAGACAGACGAGGTCCTCTGAAGAAGCAGCACATCATCGGGGATGCAACGATGATGCGGCACGATCTTGCGACCCGATCCGCTCCGACCCCGTCTGGGAGGCCTCCACAACGAGGGCGAGGACGGACGGCGGTTGGCGGAGGGCGACTGGCGGCGACGAGCGGCAGAGACGAGCGAAAGACTCGGCCAGGCAAAGCTTGGCCAAGCGGAACTCGGCTGTCAACGTCGGTACACCTGCGCACTGACATGTTGTCCGCCCTCTACCTTTTCACCTGCCACCGAAAGCGGTTCTGAATCTCTTTCGCACCCCGCCCACGAATCGACCCTTGCCGCTGCGGCGTCACCTCCGGGGGTCGGTCCCGCTCCCCACCACCTACCCGTGCTCATCAAGGACAGGGATATCCCTCAAAAGCGTAGGCAATGTTTTTTATTTGTTTGTCTCGGGGCTCTCGCAACTTCCCCCCCTCCCGCCCCCTGGCCCATCGTCTTGGGCCCCCCATTAGATCGTCTGCCTCCCACTCCCTGCTGTCCGTCCGGGTGGTGGTGGTGGAAGGTGGTTTCCCCGATCCCGTGTTTCAGACAGCCGCAGGCCCAAAACCGCGCCCTTGCTAGGACCCCCGCCGCCGCCCGGCCGCCAGCGACCATCCGCGAGGCGTGCGCGGCTTGGGCATGACCTTCCATGACCCGCAGGCGGGGGCCAGGCACATACTGGTTGAACAAGAGGCGTCGCGGCAAACCCAGGTTGATTGCCCCCTCCCCCGCTTCTGCAGCCCTTGGAGGGGGGGGAGCGTCGTAGCTGTAACATGCTGTGTCCACGGCTGACGCCCTCCCCCAGGACCGGTGGCGGCGAGAAGCGAACAAAGACCGGAGGACAAATCCTGCCCCCCCCCCCTCCACGGCGCAAGCTATCGTTCCATGCCTGTACGACCAACTGTTGCCGGTTCTGCGGCGCGCCACGCCACGTGCAGCGTGAGTGCGTGAGTATCGGGGGCGGGAAAGAGGGGGGTGATGACTAGGGGGAGGTGGATATCATGGCGTGGGCCATGATATTTCCCCAGATTTCATTGCGCCTCTTCTTCTTTCATTACGTCCCTGCCCCCCCGCTGGGCCGTGCACGTGCCGCTAATCATGATTTGCACCCCCCCTCTTGGACACCCCCCTCTTGGCCGCTCCCTTTTAATACATGCCGATTTTAATACATGCTCCGCGTGCGGATCATGTATTAAAAGTGCAGGGATTTAGTATTAGAATCAACGATGAGTTCATGCATAAATTTATTCATAAATTGATCATGTATTAAAATCCAATATTCTTAAAAGCCTATGTATTAAAAACTGCCCTGTAGGTTGGCTCCCTTTCGCGGTGGGTTCCCAGCTGACGCCCAGCAGACCACAGCACAGCCCGCAGCCTGTGCCCGTCTGCAGGGTTGTCCAAGGCGAGTGCCTCCTCGAGACTTGGCTCAAGTCGGGCTCCCTCCACAGGGGGAATATCCAAAGTCAAACAAATTAGTCTGGGGACTATGTTTGGACTATTTTTTAGCATTCTAGGGGCATTTTTTGGGCATGCTTAATTTTTCGGCCAAGATCCCCCTGCAAGGGGGCAGGCCCGACTTAAGGATGGGCCAGGATACCCCTCTGTACGGCCTCGGTGTGCCCATCGTCGAGGGTGGTCGCTCCTGCCCTCTCCCCCCTTCCTTCCCTTCCTATTTCGCAATGGAGCACTACGAATACTACTCTCCCTCCTCCCCCGAAGTCGTCCGGAAGATCTCCCGCCCCCTCCGCGTGCTGGTCTCTTGCGCACAGGGTTTCAAAGTATTATTTGTCTTATATTCCTTGAGCTGTGCGATTGTTTTCGGTGGTTCCGAATGGTGCTCCCGCTGCAGCGTGGGCCTCAGCACGGGTCACTTTTCTGGATCCGAGTCTTTTTTCATGGTGGCCTCCCCTCATTTCCCCTCCTCCGGCTTCCCCTGGTCCTCCTGTTCCTTCCGCTCGTTCCACTCCAGTTCCTGTTGCTGCTGGTCGTCTCGCCCCAGCGCGGGCCACTTTTCTGAATCCGAGTCTGTCTTCATCGTTGTCGCCCCCATCAATTTTTTTCGTCCGCCTTCCCCTGCTCCTCCTTTCCAACCCGAACCGTCCGCTTTAGTTCCTGCTGCTGTTGTTCGTCCTCATCCTTTTCTTCCCGCTCATCCTCTTGCTCACCCACCACCTCCTCTGCACGTAGCTCCCCCTTTTCGCGCATTACACGAAGTGGTCTTTCTGTGCGAGTCGCAGGTCGGCTATGACACGCGTGTACGGCTGGGGAGCAGTCAGCGACATTGGACGAGACGGGAGGGAGGGATAGGATGTCAGATAAGGCGCGAGCGCACCTAGCTTGCCTTCCTCCTCTCTCCCCTCCCCGTCCCCTCCCTCCTCCTGGCTCTCTCTTCTGGGGCGAAAACTTCGCCCCCTGACTGGGCACGTGCGAATGGGTAAACGACCGTCAATTGGCCTCGCACCCCGCGCAGCTTCCATCATTGGGGCTGTGCGGGTTCCCATTCCCACCTGCCATGACGGCGTCAGTAGCCACCGGAGGGGGGCGAGGACTCTTTCAGGGACCCTCGGCCAATCAAAACGTCCGTAGAGGAGGAGGGCCCCACGTACACCCGCACCCTTTCAACCTTCGCTGTGGCGCCGACTGCCACCCGCGCGGTTCCCCCCTCATCCGCCCCCCCCGCCCTCCCCGGCAGCCATTTTGGCAGCGCCGCGCCCGCGCGCGCGCCGCCGCCGCGGGTGCTTCGGCACGGGCGGCGCCATGCCGCCGCCCGGCGCGCGCGACGCCGCGCGGAGCCCGCGCGCAGGGCGCCACGGCGGGCACCACGACGGCGACGGGCGGCGCCACTGCGGACGCGACGGCGCGCCGCCGGGCGTTGCGGAGGCCCCGGCGGAGCCCGCCAGCGCCCTCGGCGGGCGACGCTCGTCGTGGGAGGGCTTCAGCGCCGCGGCGGGCTCGCGCGACGACGGGCGGGACCGCGGCGACTCTGTCGACGTGGGCGGCGGCCGCGACCGCCTGGACGACGGGCGGGGCGGCCGCGGCCAGCGGGAGCGCGACGACGCAGGAGGCGGGCGGGACCAGCGCGACCGCGACGACTGGGGCGGCCGCGACCGCCTGGACGACGGGCGCGGCGGCCGCGGCCAGCGGGAGCGCGACGACGCAGGCGGCAGGCGGGACCAGCGCGACCGCGACGACCGGGGCGGCCGCAACCGCCTGGACGGCGGGCGCGGCGGCCGCGGCCAGCGGGAGCGCGACGACGCAGGCGGCGGGCGGGACCAGCGCGACCGCGACGACTGGGGCGGCCGCGACCGCCTGGACGACGGGCGCGGCGGCCGCGGCCAGCGGGACCCCGTCGAAGGGTGGTACCGCCGCGATCGTGACGATCGGGGCGGCAAGGACCGCCGTGACGACGGGCGCGGCGGCCGCGGCCAGCGGGACCGCGACGATGACTACGGCAGCCGCGACCGCCTGGACGACCGCTGCGAGCGGGAGTGGCAGGACTGCGGCGGCGCCAGAGGCAGGCGAGACCAGCAGGATGCCGGCGGCCTCCGCGACGACAGGCGCTCGCCCGCTGGCGCCGTCGGTGCCGGGGCGGGCGCGCGCGGCGGCGGGCCACGCTCGCCGTGGGAGGGCCGCGGCGTCGGCGGGGGCAGTAACCTCGCGGCGTTGTGCAGCCCAGATGGGCCCAGGGGCGGGCAGGACCTCGCCAGCACGCCGCCGCCCCGCGGGTGGGCCTCAGATGCGATGCCGCCTGCCCGGGCCGCGGGCCTGGCCCTGGGCGCGCGTCGCGCAGGCGCCTCGCCAGTCCGCGGCGCCTCGCCGCTGTCGGGTGCCATGGGCTATCGCTCTGCCAGCGAGGTGTCTCTGGGGGAGCCAGATCCAGGCTCGCTGGTTTGGCAGGGGCCGCTGCTGCAGGAACGCCCTCGGGTGGTAGGCACCGCGGGCTTCCTTGCAGAGCTCGAGCAGGTGCTCATGCTGGTCGAGCAGCAGTCGCTGCAGATGGTGAGGGAGACGCAGGCGGACATCGAGGAGGTTCAGCACGACGTGCTGACCCTGCTGGAGGGGCTGCAGGCGATGCGCGCGGCCCGCGAGCTGTCCGAGGAGAAGAACCAGCGGCGGGAGCGCGCCATTGAGGGCCGCCGGCAGGCCGTAGTCGCCGAGACAATCGGGGCGCGGGAGGAGCTGGAGGCGAAGCTGCGCGAGCTGTGGCAGCACCAGGTTGGCGCGCTCCAGCAGGTGTACCACGACCAGCCCGCCGGCATCCTCGGCGCCGAGGGCGTGCAGAGGGTGGGGCAGCAGGTGCGGCAGATCCGAGAGGAGCTGGAGGCGGAGAGGCACGCCCGGCAGGGCCGCTCGGAGGGGCTGCTGTCGAGCCTGGAGGCGGAGCTCCGCGGGGCCCGGGAGGCCATGCTGGCGCACAGCCGGCAGCGCTTCGAGACCGAGGCGAAGGGCGTGCAGCTGGCCGAGGACGTCCGCGCCGAGATCCGGGAGCTGCTGCGTCACGAGGTCGCCGAGCGCGAGGCCGTCCAAGACAAGCTGCTGAGCCTGCTCGAGGCGCGTGGCCCGCTGCACGTCGCCAGCCGGCGGCCCTCGGCGGCCCTCGGGGGGGGGCTTCGGAAGCCCTGGGAGGCCCTGGGAGGCCCTCGGGGGCCTCCGTCGGCGTCGGTCGTTCGGTCTGTCGGGCGTCCCAGATCCCAGAGGACGTCACCGCCCGCAGCGAGCACTACGCTCCGGCCCCAGAGGGCGCCGCCACCCGCGCCGACGGGACGCACGTGGAGGGGCGGACGCAGGCGAGGGGCCGCACGCCTGGGCAGACGCCGGCGTCCGAGGCTGGGGCTTACCCAGATCTGTCAGGGGCAACGGCAGGGGGGGATGAGCAGAGGGGGGGATGCGTCGACCCCCAATCGACCACTGATCGCCGATGTGGGGTCTAATAGCCCCACCCCGCCCAGGCGCTTTAAGCTGTAGTGGGTGCTTCGGGCCCAATCCGCGGCACCTGCAGGGTGCGCAATGCGGGTCGCAGTCGCAGCCGCAGTCCCGCCCAGGAAGGTGCGGCTTTGCTCTCGGGGGCCCATCGCCGATCTGTCGACGATGGGTCGCCGATTCCAGGTCGATGCGTAGCCACCGTATGTGCCAGCCCCCCCCCCCCGTGGCTGCCTCTCGACCTGCGAGGACGAGCTTTCCCACCCGAGTGCGTCCCCGCGATCTTGGCCTCTTCGGGGCCGCTCTCGGGCCTCGGTGCCAGCGCGAGCGGATCCGGGGGCGCAGAGCTGGGGTGTCTGGGGCCTCCCTGGGGGGCCGCGGGTGGGAAGACCGTTCTCGGAGGAGACCCACACTCGCCGCCCCCAGTGGGGTCCTGGGAGATCAGCGGCGGCGATGGGGGGAGCAGCCGAGGGGCGGGCACTGCACGCATTCGCGCGGGAGCCTCCCCGAAGACAGGGACCATTGGCGCCCCTGGATGCATGGTGCCCCTCCTCGTCGCTTCCGGGGAGATCGGTTCCCCGGGCAGTGGGCCGGATGTCGGGGGCGGTGAGACCGAGCGAAGCGGAGCCCCCCCGGCCAGGAGATCGGTCTTGATTTCGGGTCGCGTCCTGCGTGCGGGGAGGCGAGGTTGAGCGGGTTGTGGCGGCAGCTGGAGCCGGGTCTGGCCAGAAGGAGTCGTCGGCCACCGTCCGCCAGGGCGTGCCCGGGGTTGTCGACCTGGCTCGAGGAATGCCGCCGAAAGACGGGGGTAGGGCTCTGGTCGTGATTCACTCCACGGCATCATGTTCTCCTGAAGTCGGATCTTGGGGTGGAGGCCCTCCTGCCGCCTCCTCCTCCTCCTTCTCCTCCTACCTCGAGCTCTTACCCTGATGACTCTTGCCCCTCAGCTCCTCCCCTCGCAACAGTCGGCGGAGCACGCGGACCACCTTCTGCACGGAGCCCATCATGTTTTATAGCAAGAAGATGGGAAACTGTGGTTCTTTTTCAAACAGGGGTTCTCGCTTGAATGGCATGTTCATGGCCGGAGCGTTCGTCCTTCAAGGGGATCCCTCCCGTCAAGGATATTGTATGTGCTTATCAGGATGGAAGTTGAGACGAGAGGACGCTCTGCCTTTGGGGTCCTGGAACATCCGCCCGCCAACATGGATGTACAAGCCCCAGCTTCGTAATCGACAAGGAGTGCAAGCAACGATATCAAACCCTGCTGGACCTGTTCTCAAAAAAGGCAGGAGTCTGAGGCTGGTCTCTGCACGGGTGACGGCCTCTCGGTGGACGCGGATCAGCACGGCCACGACGACGGCGGGGATTCCTTCGACAGGGATCGGACAGCGGAACAAAAGCGCATAAAACATCGATCGGCGGCGAATCCAGTGATGAAGTGAGAGGGGGCATGCCTTCTCAGAAGGTGGCAGGGCTTCTCAGAAGTCACCCAGCCTTCTGAGAAGCCAGCTCTGTCTTCGGAGGAGGAGGGCTTCTGAGAAGCCCTGCCGCCTTGTGACCCAGACCCCCTGACGTCATGTTTTTTCATGGCGTCGACCCCGAGAGGTCTCGACTCATTCCCTGGGGCTGGTCCCGACGCCCGTAGCTGCAGACCTCCCGTCGCGATTTTTGCATGACTCGAGGGGGTCTGGGGAGCAGGCCTGCCCCCTCTCACTTCCTCCCTGGGCTCGCCGCCGAATGCAGGGCGTGCGCGGACGGCCTTGCGCAGGCGCCCCCTCCCACCTCCTGTGCTCCTGGGCGGCACCTTCGCTCGGCGCTCTCCGCGCGCTGGGGGAGGGGTGTGTCTCCCTCCCCCCTCCCCCCCCCAGCAGGAGGAGGAGGAGGAGGAGGAGGAGGAGGAGGAGGAGGAGGAGGAGGAGGAGGAGGAGGAGGAGGAGCGAGGAGGAGGAGGAGGAGGAGGAGGAGGAGGAAGGAGGAGGAGGAGGAGGAGGAGGAGGAGGAGGAGGAGGAGGAGGAGGAGGAGGAGAGGAGGAGGAGGAGGAGGAGGAGGAGGAGGGGAGGAGGAGGAGGAGGAGGAGGAGGAGGAGGAGGAGGAGGAGGAGGAGGAGGAGGAGGAGGAGAGGAGGAGGAGGAGGAGGAGGAGGAGGGGGGAGGAGGAGGAGGAGGAGGAGGAGGAGGAGGAGGAGGAGGAGGAGGAGGAGGAGGAGGAGGAGGAGGAGGAGGAGGAGGAGGAGGAGGGAGGAGGATGAGCAGGGGGAGGAGCGAGGAGCGAGGAGGAGGAAGAGGAGACCATGACCAAGATGGCGCGGGATCTTGTCGAGGCCGAGCTTGGTCATGGTCTGTGGCGGCCGTGGCCGATTCGCGAGGATGGTCCACGAATTGGCGCCGACCGAGATCGACGCCGTCGCAGGGGCTACAGGAAGAATACTCAGAAATAGTAAGATAATAGTTCCCAACCGTCCTGTGGTGTTGGGTCCTCGTTATTAAGAGACAGCGCCCCGCGTTCCCGCTCCCCCTCCTCCCCCTCCTCCCTCCCTCCTCCCGCCGCCTTCATTTTGGCGCACCCCTCACACGCTTCGTGGCCCCATAGGGAGCTCCACCGAATGCCCCAGTGGCAGGGTCCGCATGCAGTTCCACTTCCATTTCGGCGCACCACTCACACGTTTCGCGGCCTCATAGGATGCTCCACCGAAGGCACCAGTGGCAGGGTCCGCATGCAGTTCCACCCCCATTTCGGCGCACCCCTCGCACGTTTCGTGGCCCCATAGGGTGCTCCACTGAAGGCCCCAGTGGCAGGGTCCACATGCAGTTCCACCCCCATTTCGGCGCACCCCTCATATGTTTTGCAGCCCCAAAGGGTGCTCCGTCGAAGGCCCCAGTGGCAGGGTCCGCATGCAGTTTCACCCCCATTTCGGCGCACCCCTCACACGTTTCGTGGCCCAATGTGGTGCTCCACCGAAGGCCCCAGTGGCAGGGTCCGCATGCAGTTCCATCCCAATCTCGGCGCACCCCTCATACGTTTCGTGGCCCCATAGGGTGCTCCGCCGAAGGCCCCAGAAACCGGGTCCGCATGCAGTTCCATCCCAATGTTGACGCACCCCTCGCACGTTTCGCCGCCCCAAAGGGTGCTCCACCAAAGGCCCCAGAGGCAGGGTCCACATGCAATTCCACCCCCATTTCGGCGCACGCCTCACGTTTCGTGGCCCCATAGGGTGCTCCACTAAAGGCCCCAGTGGCAGGGGCCGCATGCAGTTCCACCTCCATTTCGGCGCACCACTCACACGTTTCGTGGCCATAGTCTGGTCCACCGAGGGCCCCAGTGGCAGGGTCCGCATGCAGTTCCACTCCCGTTTCGGCGCACCCCTCGCACGTTCGGTGGTCCACCGGAGGCCCCAGTGGCAGAGCCCGCACGCGGTTCCACCAAGCATTCCGGCGCACCTCTCACCATTCGTGGCCTCACATGGGGCTGCACCGACGGCTCTGGTGACAGGGTCTGCATGGCGTACCCGTGCCAATTTTGGCACACCCGTCACACGCGTCGTGGCCCCAGAGAGAGGTTCACCGAGGACGATACCCACAACTGCGTTACCCACAATTGCACATGGTTGGGTCCTTCGCCAGGATAATATGGGGACGATTTTTGAGCATTTTTTTTAAAATAGTATTTTTGAATATTTTTGGGGATTTTTTTATTCTTCCTCCAAAATCCGCCTGTAGGGGACATGCCCGACCTAACACGAGGTTTCCGCGTTCAGTCTTGAGCATGGTCCCCGTTCTCTTCCCCTCCAGTGTGTACGGGGGGGCTTTGGCGCCAGCGGAAAAGCCGTCCGCGGACGCCCGAAGATCTACCTCGTAGCCAGACCTCCAGCGGACTGCCTTCTCAATCCGTTTGGCCCTGGTGCTCCCGGACCACTTCCCCACGGCTTATTTTTCGGATGGTCCTAGGGTCCAGAAGCGCCATGGACGCCGACGTCTAGAAAAACAATCAGACGGAACAGCGAGCATCACCGCAGGTCGGGGTATGTCTTGCTCTGGCCTCCCGACGCTCCGAACCAAGGAAACGGAGCTGCGGCTGCCTGGGTCTTCGCCACGCCCCCCCCCTTTCCGAACAATCGCGCTGAAGAAGAACATGCGAGCGACACAGTAAAACGGGGTCGTCTTCGCCGACGCTGGCGCCTCAGCTGCCCGCGCAAGGCCGCGCGCAAGCGTAGGTGCCCTCTTCTCCACGCGGTGTGCGACGCTGGCAGCCCGCCTGAGCCACCGCGTCTGAGGTCGCTGTGGCATTTCTCGTCAGGCCCCTTCCTTCTCGCCGCTCGTGCGTTTTATCCTGGCCTCCTCCACAGGAGCAGCACGCGCTTCGGCGGAGCGAGCTCCTCCTCCGCCCTGGTGGGGAGCCTGTGCCTGCCGCCGTAGGTGCCGGCGCGGTCGCTGGGCACCGCGCCTCCCCTCCCTGGCGGGGCGCGCGTGCGCCAGCGCCGCGCTCGTCGTGCCACGTCTGTCGTCGCCAGAGGGGGGGGTGGTTGCGGGGGAGACAAGGCGAGGAGGGAGGCGGACCATTGTGAGGTGCAGACCCGGCATGGGGAAGAGGAGGGCTGCCTTGCCTCGAGGGGTTTCGGACGTTTTCGTCGATTCTCGTTTGCTTTGCGGCCTCGGGGTGCCTTCCAGCGGCTGCGCCTCGCCGAGAGCTTTTCCGGGTTGCCCGGATTGTCCCAGACGCGCCCCAGAGGCCAGAGTTATGACCCGAAATTTGCCGCGCGTCGAGGAGGGGGGAGGCGGACCAGGGTGAGGGGAATGGGGCCAGGTGTTGGAGCAGGGGAAGTGGGCGGATGAGGGAGGGAAGGGGAAGTGGTGCATTTATGGTGGTAAGGGGGAGGGGAAGGTGAACGGGGAGGAGCGGGAGGTGTAGGAGGTGTAGGAGGAGGAGGTGGAGGAGGTGGAGGAGGAGGAGGCGGAGAAGGAGGGGGAGGATGAGGAGGAGGAGCAGGAGGAGGAGGAGGAGGAGGAGGAGGAGGCGGAGGAGGACCAGTGTAAACCCAAGAGTTATCAACGATGCGGGAATATACCCTACCTCCAGGCTCGCTTTTCATAGGCCCCTATAAGGGTTCATTTCCACTGAGGAAACTGCCTCCTTGGAAGACAACCATGTGAAGACCCTGATGCATCCCCGAAAATCGTTCTCGGGATTTCAACGTCACGGATCAACCTGACTGATGCGTCTTGGCGATCCCGAATCGTGTCAGAACGCCATTCGTTGGACTTCAACACCGCGAATCAATGTAAGTGTTGCACCCTCATATTCCTGAATCCTTCCAAAACACCATTTCTGGTACGTTGATCATGGGAATCCGTGAAACTCTTGCAAATTTTTAAACGAATGTGCGCGGCGCTTAGGCGAGAGTCACATTTTGAAAAGGAATCGCCCTCACACCATGAAAAAACTTGCAAATGTTTAAAACGAATGTGCGCGGTGCTTAGGCGAGAGCCACATTTTGAAAAGGATCCGCCCTCAATACGTGAAACTCTTGAAATGTTCAAAACGAATGTACGCAGCGCTAAGGCGAGAGCCACATTTTGAAAACGACCCGCCCTCCATCTGTGAAACTGTTTTCAATTTTTAAGCTTCAGGGTCATAAACGGTAAGGAATTCTCAGGCGAAGAGCCCGGACCGCCCCAAAACTGGCCTCGGGGGGCGACAGTGAGAAGTTATTTATAAGACAAAGAATGGAGGAGGAGGAGGAGGAGGCGGAGGAGGGGGAGGAGGAGGATGAGGAGGAGCGGGAGGAGGAGGAACAGGAGGAGGAGAATGAGGATGATGATGATGACGAGGAGGAGGAGGAGGTGATGGAGGAGGAGGAGTAGGAGAAGGCGGAGGAGGAAGAGGAGGAGGAAGGAGGGAGGGTGGATGAAAGAGAAAAGGCGGATGATGATGCTGCTGCTGACGATGATGATGATGTTTGATGATGATGATGATGATGAGGAGGAGGAGGAGGATGATGATGATACTGCTGCTGCTGCTGATGATGATGATGGTGATGTTTTTTTGTATAAGTATTGCTGATGATGCTGATGATGATCATGATGATGCTGCTGCCTCTGCTGCTGCTGCTGCTGATAATGGTGATCATGATGATGCTGATGCTGATGGTGCTGATGATGATGATCATACTGATGCTGCTGACGATGATGCTGATGCTGATGCTGATGCTGCTGCTGCCGATGATGGTTATGATGATGCTGATGATGATGAAGGTGATGATGTTGCTGATGATGCTGCTGATAATGATTAGTCTGATGCTGATGCTGATGATGATGAAGATGATGATGCTGATGCTGATGGTGACAATGCTTATGATGCTGATGATGGTAAGGATGATGATGATGATGATGATGATGATGATGATGATGATGATGATGGTGATGATAATGATATTTTGTTTATGATGATGATTCTGAATCTCATGATGATGCTGCTGCTGATGGTAATGATGATAATGCTGGTGGTGATGATGATGGTGGTGGTGATGATGCTGCTGCTGATGATGCTGTTGATGATGATATTGGTTGTGGTGATGATGTTGATGGTAATGATGATGAAGATGATGATGGTAATGCTGCTGATGATGTTGGTGATGCTGATTATGATGATGCTGATGATGATGCTGCTGATGATGATGATGCTGATGATGACGAACATGACGATGATGATGATGATGATGATGATGATGATGATGATGATGATGCTGATGTTGATGATGATGCTGATGATGATGTTGATGATGATGATGATGATGATAATGATGGTAGTTGTTGTGGTTATGATGATGATGCTGTTGATGATGATGACACTGATAATAATGCTGCTGCCGCTGATGATGATGATGATGCTGATGATGTTGATGATGATGCTGATGATGCTGATGATGGTGCTGATGATGCTGATGCTGATGCTGATGCTGATGCTGATGCTGATGCTGCTGCTGGTGCTGATCATGATGATGATGATGATGATGATGATGATGATGATGATGATGATGATGATGATGATGATGATGATGATGATTGATGATGATGATGATGATGATGATGATGATGATGATGATGATGATGATGATGATGATGATGATGATGATGATGATGATGATGATGATGATGATGATGATGATGATGGAGGAGGAGGGAGGAGGAGGAGGAGGAGAGAGGAGGAGGAGGAGGAGGGAGGAGGAGGAGGAGGATGAGGAGGAAGATGATGAGGTGGAGCTGGACCTGGAACTGGAGCTCCAGGAGGAGGAGGAGGAGGAGGAGGAGGAGGAGGAGGAGGAGGAGGAGGAGGGTGAGGAGGAGGAGGAGGAGGAGGAGGAGGAGGAGGAGGAGGAGGAGATGGAGCCGGAGCTGGAGCTGGAGCTGGAGGAGGAGGAGGAGGAGGAGGAGGAGGAGGAGGAGGAGGAGGAGGAGGACCAGTGTAAACCCAAGAGTCATGAACGACGTTGGAATTAACCCTCCCTCCAAGCTCCCTCTTCATAGCCCCCACTGAGGGAATTGCCTCGTTAGAGGACAATCGTTTGAAGATCCTGGAGCATGCCAAAACATTGTTCTCGGGAGGACTTCAAAACCACGTATCAACCTGACTGCTGCGTCTTGACGGTCCGGAATCGTGCCAGAGCGTCATTTGTGGGACTTCAACACCGCGAGCCAACATAATTGTTGCACCAGCATAATCTTGAATCCTTCTAAACACAACTGGTACGTTCATCGTGGGAATCCGTGAAACTCTTGCTAACTTTGAAACCGAATATGCGCGGCGCTAAGGCGAGAGTCACATTTTGAAAAGGAACCGCCCTCAATCCGTGAAGCTCTTGCAAATGCTTAAAACGAATGTGCGCGGCGCTTAGGCGAGAGCCACATTTTGAAAAGGAGCCGCCCTCAATCAGTGAGATTCTTGCAAGTTATGAAAACGAAAGTGCGCGGCGCTAAGGCGAGAGCCACATTTTGAAAACGACCCGCCCTCAATCCTTCAAGCTCTTACACATTTTGAGAACGAGTGTGCGCGGCGCTAAGGCGAGAGCCACATTTGGAAAACCACCCGCCCTGAACCTGTGAAATTCTTGTACCTTTGGAAAAAGATTGTGCGCGGCGCTGAGGCGAGAAGCACATTTTGAAAACCACCCGCCCTCCATCTGTGAAGCTTTTGCAAACTTGCAGAAATAATGTGCGCGGCGCTAAGACGAGAGCCACATTTTGAAAGCCACCCGCCCTCAATCCGTGAAGCTCTTACAGTTTTTCTAAAACGAACGTGCGCGGCGCTAAGGCCAGAACCACAGTTTGAAAACGACCCGCCCTCAATCCGTGAAGCCCTTGCAAAGTTTTACAACGAATGTGCGCGGCTCTAAGGCTAGAACGACATTTTGAAACTACCCGCCCTCCATATGTGAAGCTATTTCCATTTTTAAGCTTCAGGGTCATGAGTGGTCAGGAACTCTCAGTCGAAACGCCCGGCCCGCCCTGAAAACATGCCCCGGGGTGCGACTGGGAGAAGTTATCTATAAGGAGAAGAAGGAGGAGGAGGAGGAGGAGGAGGAGGAGGAGGAGGAGGAGGAGGAGGAGGAGGAGTTGGGAGTTGGAGTTGGAGGAGGAGGAGGAGCAGGAGGAGAGGGAGGGGAGGGAGGGGAGGAGGGAGGGGGAGGGAGGAGGATGAGGAGCAGGAACAGGAGCAGGAGGAGGAGGATGAGGAGGAGGAGGAGGAGGAGGAGGGGAGGAGAGGAGGAGAGGAGGAGGAGGAGGAGTTTGAGTTGGAGTTGGGTAGGAGGAGGAGGAGGAGGCGGAGGAGAAGGAGGAAGAGGAGGAGGGAGGAGGGAGGAGGAGGAGGAGGAGGAGGAGGAGGAGGAGGAGGAGGAGGAGGGTGGAGAGGATGGAGAAATGGGAGGAGGGAGGGGACGGATGGGAAGCGAGCGAGCATGCATGGAAAAGGGCTGCATTGCGGGAGGAAGCAACAATCATAGCCCGACGGCCCCTTAGGGGCACGGCTTCTTCGCTTTCAGCGCCAGCGAGTAGCTGGGGCCTTGGAGCGAGCGGATTGGCGGAGGAAAACAATGTTTCCCGCCCCTTCTCATCCCTCTCCCCCGCCTCCTCCTCCTCCTCATCCTCCTCCTCCTCCTCCTCCTCCTCACTCCTCCTCTCATCCTCTCGTCTCCCTCCTCGTCCCCTCTCCCATCCCCTCTCCTTCTCCCTGCTCCCTCTCCCAGACCTCGATTCTTCCCGTCCGTCCCGATTCCTTAGGGATGTGCGTTTTCTCTCGAGTCTTCTCGCGGTTTGTGATCTTGGAGCCAGAGAACCAGACCGTGGTGGGGCACACGCTGGTGGAGAGGGAAGGAGGGGAGGGAGAGCGAGGACGAAGAGACGATGGGAGGAAGAGGAGAACCAGGAGGAGGATGAGGAGGAAAACATGGTGTAAGGATGAGGAAGAGGAAGAGGAGGAGGAGGAGGAGGAGGAGGAGGAAAGGAGGAAAAAAGGAAGAGGAGGAGGAAAAGGAGGAGGAGGAGGGACGGAGGGTGGTTTTCAAAAGGGGGCTTTCGGCGCGTCGGCTCCCACGGTCGTCTTCGGGCATTGGTGGAGGGCAGTGTCTACCTGCTTCTAGAAGACCGATGTATCGGACGTATGCCAAATACCGTTCTCACAGGTTGACCACAAGCGTCTATGAATGAACCGGGTGCCGTTACGTGTGTGTATATGTATAAGTGTATAGTTATACTCGCCTTCGGGAGGGATGCGTCTATAGACAATGCGATCGTTACGTTTGGCACAGTACAAGGTCTGTGGAAGGGTAGATCCGTCTGTGGGATGTTCCTGTATTGGAGCAGGTCCCACATGGTATTCCGAAAGAGGCTCTTGCCCTCGCCGCGCACATTTGTTAGTGAAACCTTGCCAACATCACACTCCCTCCTCCTCCTCCTCCTCCTCTTCCCTCCTCCTTCTCCTCCCTCCTCCTCCTCTTCTTCCTCCTCCCTCCCTCTCTCCTCCTCCTTCTCGTTCTTCTCCTCCTCCTCCTCCTCCTCCTGTCGTTGCACCTGTCAAAGGGGGGGGCCTTCAAAATGGAATTCACGCTGGAGCCCCTTTTCAATTCGTACGATCAGAAGTTTAACACAGAGTTTAACACTTGCACGGCTGAAGGGCAGCTTTTTTCTATCTAGTGGGGCTCCCGCTCGAGGTTGCCCCAAGAGTGTGTGGCACAGACCCTGTTTTGGAACTCGTGCAGCGCCGACGCGGAGGGCAGACCGTTTCCAAAATGGAGTTGGCGCTAGACAATTCTTTGATTTCGATGGCCTGTCTATTCTTGGAAGCTCTTAGGTGGACGGATGGAGGGTGGGCCCTTTATGCATCGCAGGCCTGCGGGCCGTTCGTCTGTCAGCGGAGGCGTTCTCAGCAGTGGAAGGGAACCCGTGCAGGGACCTCCGTTGTAGCATAGTTGCTGCATCCTGGGGTTGCTCTGGTCTTCCTCCTCCTCCTGCTCTTCCTCCTCCTCTCCCTCCCTCCCTGCATTTTTTTCCTCCTCCTCCTCCTCCTCCTTCGTCGCATTTTTTTCCATCCTTCCTCATCCTCTTCCTCCTCATTTTCCTTTTCCTCCTCCTTCTCTTTCTCTCCTCCTTCTCCTCCTCCTCGTCCTCCTTCTCCTCACCATTACGTTCCCCTTCCTCCTGTTCTTCCTCACCTCCTCCTCCTTCTCCTCCTCCTCCTGTACTATCCTTCTCTCTCCCCTGTTAGTGTACTAGCGCATCCCGCCTCTCTCTCTCTTGTATTGCTCACCGACGGGGTTTCTCGTTATCCGTAAGGGTTTCGCCCTTTGCCGCAGGCCCCCTCTCTTTCAGAGCGGGGCATGCCAGAGCTATGTTAGGATGCTTGGTCGCCGACTTGAAGCGATGTCGGAATCTCATGCGAGGATGGCTTGTAATCGTGACGTCATTTACAAGGGAGCGTGGCCTCGAGAGCGCGAATCTGGTGTACTCCACAAGGGATCATCGCCTCGGGAGCGCGAATCTGGCGTAATTGAGGGGGATTGTGGTTTCGGGGTCGCGAATCCTGAGTGATTTATCAGAGTGAGGGGGCCCGAACGATCTTACATGATCCCTGCGCGCGCGTGGCTGGAGTAGGGACGGCGACGCTGGGAGGGCACACTGGGAGGGCACGCAGGGAGGGCGCCCTGGGAGGACACGTCAAGAGGGCGCGCTGGGAGGGCGCGCTGGGAGGGCACGTTGGACGGGCGCGCTGGGGAGGCAGACTGCCTGACAAAATGCCTGGTCATGGCTCCGCTTCCCCCTCACCGCTCCGCTTCCCTCTCCCTGCCCTCTCCCTCCTGGCCCCCTCACTCTGATTCTCGTGGCCGTTGTGGCCGTTGTGGCACAGGGCAAGACGTGGCGCGCCAGGCAAGGCCGTTCAGCCTGGTCTCCCATCGGCGTCACCGCAACATACTCATACTATGTGTGCGTCGCCCCCCCCAGGGGCGACGCGCGCACCGAGAACTCTTATAGTATATGTATCTCGGCGGGCGCTTTCTGGCCACACCGCTCGGGAAAGGATATACAACAAGATGAGTATACTATATGTTCGGATCGGACGCGCGCCTCCAAGGAGAACAAGTAGTACTAGTATGTCTCTGTGTGTCCCATCCCATGCAGTGGCCGGTCCGCCCCAGTCACTGAGCTGCCTCCTGCGCCCGCATGCGGGCAGGTGCTGCTCTCGGCATGCTCGGACGCACGAGCCACGGTTGCGGCATGGGGCGCGGAAGCAGCGCCTACACCTTTTGCTGGACTCGGTGGGGAATTGGTCTGCGATTGGAAGTTGGAGCCTTCAGGAGGTTGGTCCTCTATTTGCCAGGATTTTGTCGCTTGGGCTGCAAGTTCGCCGACTGAGTTCACCCCCCGGGTCCTGCCCCTAGCGGGCCAGCTTTGCTGTTAGGACTTGCTCCTTGCTCTTTGCTCCATTTGCCAGGCGGTCGTGCCAGGCTGGAAGACGCAGTTTCCCGAGCTGGGCACGGACGGTGGGAAGGAATGTCTGGGGAAGGCCCCCCCCCCCCCGCACACCCTCTGGAAGAGTCGCAAGTCCATGAGGCACAGCTCGCTCGCGGAGCTTGACGACCTTCTGGCCAAGGTGGAGACGATTTCGGTTCAGAACGTTCCCCAGGTGGATCTCGGGCCGCTCAAGCTGGTGCAGACGCAGGTCGAGGAGGCGGCTGCGCAGATCCCGAAGAAGCAGGCCTCGAAGGAGCTGGTGTTGCGCCAGGCCATCAACAAGTTCAACCGCTGCCAGCTGGAGGTGGGGAAGTGCACGAGCCTCCTGGTGGAGGCAGAGGAGCGGGTCGCAGCCCTGCGGGCCCGCATCGGTAAGGCCATTGAGGATGCAGCTGACACGGTGGAGGAGTGCCAGGACGAGACGGGTGGAGACCCTCGGCCAGCCAAGACGAAGTGGGAAGCTCCGAAGGTTGGCGACAGGTCTGGCGACATGGGCGAGTAAGAGGAGGAGGATGATGATGATGATGATGATGAGGAGGAGGAGGAGGAGGAGGAGGAGGAGGAGGAGGAGGAGGAGGAGGAGGAGGAGGAGGATGCGGCTCAGCTCACCAAGTTCAAGAGCGACATGGAGGAGCTAGACAGGTTGCTACAGGCGGCTGCCAACCAGTACAAGCAGCTCAATGAGTTCGGCCAGCGGGCTGCCAACCTGCGCAACCACCCGAAGAAGAAACGAACGTGCGCTGAGGGGCGTGCGGCGGCGGTCCCAGAAGCGACAGTTGCGACGGGCGTCGCGGCATCCGCTGCTGGGTCGGGCTCTGGAGGCTCGGCCGCAGCCGCAGCGCCCGAAGCCCCCCTGGCCGTAACACGGAAGCATAACAGGGAAAACCTGTGAGCTAATGCCAAGACCGATGCCAACCAGAAGGTGCAGGCCGCCAAGGCGGGTGCACCCCCGTCTGCGCGAGGCGCCGCGGGCAACGGCGCGGCGCCTGGGCCTGCTGGGCGCCGCATTCAATATGTTCTTTTCGAACACCGCGACGTGGGGTTCAAAGGCCCAGACGGTTGTGTATGGGCGAGGTAAGTAGCGCGACGTCATCATGTTGTGTGTGTGTCAGATGCATTTGAGGTCTACACGATTGGGGAACGTGCTAGACGAGGTGCCCAGGGACGGGTGGGAGCTGATGGGCTCGGCTGCGACGCTGACCAAGCGCTCGGAGCACAGCGCCACGGGCGAAGGTATCGTCTTGGCGAAGTCGGATTTGGCACGCGCGGGGAACGACATTTTGAGGAAACGGCGATGCGAGGATGGCGGCGTTGACCCATTCAGAGGATTCTCTTCGCTGACAGCGCACACGCGTCTGGGGAATTTGGTGCTCATCCCAGGAAGCTAAGTCCCTGGAGAAGGATTCAAAGGTAGCAATGTGTGTTCGCATTCGCTCGGTGGCAGGATTCGTCCGAACGTTGACAGATCCATTGGTGATATGGGCAGATTTGAATGTCTCGTATCAGCAGATGATCAAGGCTGGCCCCCCCATCAAGCTCGGCGGAGTCGTGGTCGAGCCAGATGTGGAGGTCACCTGCGACGCAGGCAAAGGTAGCTTGACTGGCCATGGCATCGCGTGGGTGGGCTTCGCGCCTCGGCTCTGCTTGGAGGCAGTCGGAGCAGTGCCCTGGCGAACGCGTTGTGGCTTGCAGCTGGAGATCGCGGTTGCGAATGGGGAGTGGTGGCGTCGCGAGCTGGAGTCGCCGAAGGAATTTCCATGTCGACCGCGGACCCAAGAAGCCGCGAACCCGGGCTCTAATGCCGGCCGGGAGAAGCAGGGATCACGTCAGCGCAGCGAGGAGGAGCTAATGGAGCACGCGCAGGAGGTGTACGAGGAGGTCATGATGAACCCTGAGTTGGGCCCTGAGGCGCTGTATCTTGCGAGGCAGAATTTGTGCGCGATCGCGCGGGCCAAGCGGGGTGGCGCCAAGTCCAGGGCCACGCAGGAGCTGGAGCCGACGAAGGAGATGAATTTCATCGGTGACCAGATGATCACCCAGAACAGCCAGCGCCAGGAGGCCGAGATCACGCTCGCGGAGCTGCGCGCCCAGCGGGTCGCGAAGGTGGAGGAGGCGGCCCCGGGCGTCGAGGGGCAGGCCTGCGAGGGGGCCGCTTTGTGCAGGGGTGGGGCGCCAGGCTTCAGCGCGCGAGTGTCTCGCGCCAAGATCGCCCCAGAAAGGGCTCGCATGCGCTATGGCCCAGCTGAGCAGTGAAGTATTTTGGCTTTGGAGATGGCCAGGTATCGATCGCCGTGTGTCAATGGCGCGGGTGGTGGGCAGCGGCAGCAGTGCGTTCCTAGGGCTCAGAAGCAGTTGGAGGTGATTAAGGCGCTGGAGATTACGAGGGCCTCGGCAAGCACATGGGCACTGCTTCGGTGGAGATGCGCTTCGGGGTGGCAGGCGGCATTCTGGGGTGAGGCGAGGGCCAGTTGGGCAGCGCCATCTCGCAGACGGAGAAACACCTGGCCACGTCCCGCGCGCGGGGCATGGCGACGGCGAGGGGGGGGGGGTTCTCTTCGTGGGCCAAGAAAGCACGACGCGCCAAGGCGGGGGTGCTACGTCGTCATGTGGAGCCGAAGGCAGCGTTGCAGTTCGAGATGTGATGGCGGATGCTGATGCCACGGCAGACCCCGCGGTGGCCGCGCAGGTGCAGGCTCGGAAGTGGGGCGGGATCTGGCAAGACCCAGCTGACAGCCGCGAGGGCATCATCGCACAGCTGGGGCTCACCAAGGGGCGGGCGTCGGATGCGCAGTTCTACTCCGTCGACGTGGACATGCTGAAAGGTGCGCTGGCGGCCACGAGTCCGTCGAAGTCGCTCCAGCGGGGGTCGGGGGGGCCGCGTAATGTTGGAGCTCTACTTCAATCGTGCGTGGCCAGCGAGCGTTCGGGATGTCAAAGTGTGAAGTCGCCATGCTGCGACGTCGAGCTGCGTGCGTTGCGGGTGGCCGCGCTGCGGGGCGATGTTTGGCTGCCGCGTTGGGCATGGGATTGGGCTTGCGAGATCCAGCAGTGGATCCTCGACGTGGGGTGTTGCGCGAGCGGATGGGCATGTTGCAACAGTTCCCGCGCGCGCGGTCGAGTGTCGCGTGCTAGGTCTTCTATTCGATGTAAGTTGAGCCCCCTGGACCAGCAGAAATGGATGGCAGTGCGTGGCCCAGTTGGTGCTGTGGTGGCCGCGTTGATGGGCGTGTGGTGGATCCCGACCGCGGTCGCGCGCTTGCATCGGCCCGGCGGTGATCGGATGGAGGCGCCGGGGCTGCAGGCCAGCGAGGGCCGCGCCCTCGTCGAGACGGGGTGCTTCCAGGAGCTGCTGGGCGACATTGCGGCAGACTTGCCGCGGGGCCTGTGGGCCGCGGCGGCCGAGCGCGAGTGCGGCGACAACCTCGAGGAGGACGGTGACCCGTGGCCCATCGTCATGGAGCAGAAGCGGTCCGAGCGCATGGGGCCAGCTTGACATGCGCGCGCTCAACGTCGCCGCGGTCGCCGTCGGCCAGTGGCCGAGGGTCCGCGGCGGGGAAACACGGCGCCGGGGGTCTGGGATGCGTCCGCGATGCACGGCGGCTCGGGGAATTTTGACCCATCGGATTTGGGGCTGTCCTGAACATCGAGCACGGGGGTTATAGCAGATCAGAAGCTTTAGTTGCAGCAGCATGCGCGCGATCAGAGGCGGACCCTGTTGCGCGGCTCCGCGCCCCCCCTCGCCCCCGCGCTCGCATCGCCCGCCCTCGTTCTGATCGCGGTCGGTTGGGGGGGCGGAGGCTGAGGCTGGGTTTGGGGGTGGCGACTTCGAGGGGCGTCGAGGCATCGACTGGGTTTTAAAGGTTTTCGGCGTTTTGGGGGCGGGGATCTGATGGCCCTGGGCGCCGCGGGCGCGGGCCCGCGCGCTGCTCGCTCAAATTTGTTGATGGCGAGTGGTTTGTGGGTGCTGCGCATTCGAGGCCCCTCTTCGGAGTCCGCCAGGCCGCCCCGCGCTTCAGAATTCAAGCGTTCCGCGCTGCCCCGGATGAGGTCTTGGGATCGCGGGATCGCTCGTGTTCATTAATTGCCATCAGTCTGCGGGCCGCATGCGGCTGAGTAAGATGGAGTTCCCCAGCCCCGCGGGGGCCGATTGAGATTTGCGGGCCCGTGCCCGAGAGGCATGGCGTCTCAGGCCAGCTTCTGCCACTGTAGAGGCGCAGTGGCCCCCCCCCCCCCTCGCGCGCTGATCAATCGCCCGAGATTTTGGTGACGTGCCTGCCTGCGGTTGGAGCCAGCAGTGGGCAATGTCGTAGCTGATATTTCGGCTCGGGAGGGGGCGGAGTTGGCCTGGGTGGCGGGGCTGGTGGGGCGGGCGCCCGACGCGGATGAGATTGGCGCCGTCGCGCATGTGGTGCGCCGAAGGGCGCGAAGGATGCTGGCTGATTCGTCGAGGGCTGAGCAGGGCCCGCGTGGCGTGCGCCAGCCCGTCCCCGAGCGTGCTCCGCCAGACGGGGAATTTCGCGGGCTAGATCTAAATCGGTCCACCAAATTGAGAAGGCGGGGTGTGCGTGCTGTGATCAGGTGGTGCCGGGCTCGAAGCTCCCGTCGTTCGCTGCCTGGGCCTTCCCAGCCTGAGGGGGTTGTGCTCCGGGGGTTTCGCCGAGCGCCATCCATGGTGATTGGCGGTGCTTTTCAGACTCACGTGGCCCATGGCGTCGCATCTGTTGATGAGTAGTTTTCGCATATTGTGATTCACGTGGGATGTTTGCCGCAGTTGATGATCGGCACCTGCGTGAGAGGCGAGAAGGCATGACTCCGACTGTGACGGATAACATCAAACGGATTCAGCGACGTTTACGTTCCAGGAGAGAGGGGCCCCCGAAAGCCATAGTGGAAACGATGGCGGCGCGATGTTCCTTGAGGTGTCTCGCGTCGTCGCGGGGGGTGGTTGGGTCTGCCTGCGTCAGCGCATTGGTGTTCTTCCTCCGCTCTTGCGGCGTCCTCGCAGCTGGCTCGGACCGTGGCGGCGCCGAGGGGGGCGAGCCAGACCAGCGGCAGGAAGGGAGTGTGCTGCGTGAAGTAGCTCTGTCCCTCCATTCCGTGCGGCCTGCTGCTGATGCTGCTGGGGGTGGGGTTGATGATGTTATGTCAGGGGGCTCCGATTAACCTCAGTTTGCAGGTATGTTGTCGGCCGTTCAGATTTCAGTTTTTGGAAAGTGGTCTTTCTTCATCGCGTTCCCATTGCATCTCTCCTCACTCTATCCGCAAGGGCGCGTTGCTTACAAAAAGGGTTCTGGCCTCGGGAACGCGAACCTGATTTGGCTTTCAAGGGTTTCTTGCTTTGGGATCACGGTAGTGGTATACTTTATACAGAGGGTTATGTCCCTTGGGGCGCGACCCTCGTGTAATTTGTAAGCTGTTTTCGCCTCGGGGGCGCAGGCCTGCGAACCTTGTGCCCTTTCCCAGGGATTTTGGTCTCGGGAGCGCGAGTCTGAGGTAATCTGCAGGGGTTTGTCGCCTCGGGAGGGCATGTCTGGAGTTCTTTGAAGAGGATTCTGACATCGGTCGCGCGATGTCACTGCGGTTTTAAAAGGGCTTCTTGCCTCGGGAGCGTGACTTTGGCGTAATTTCCAAAGTGCTATTACTTCGGGAGCGCGATTGCATTTGTTTGCACAATGTCCCATCGCCCCTTTGCCATTCGGAGCACGCGATTCGGGCGTGGTTGCCAGGGTGGTTTTCGCCCTTCCCCCCCTCGCGCCGATAAAAATGATTTGCAATAGGAAGCATAACGCGTTCTTCTCACATTGGAGACCGGAAATGGGCACTGGCACATCAAACAGGAAACCTCCGCCACGCAGCCTGATGGCCTCACAACGGGGCGGGCGATTTGATGCCTGATGTCTTTTCTGCTCGGAGCGCTTGCGGTCCTGCAGACACGTGGTGTTCCCGCTGTCGTGTTGGCCACGCTTGGGGATCGGTGTTCCTGCTCCAGCGCGGGCCACGCTTGTGGATCCGATGTGTTCCTCGTCGTTGCCTCCCCCGTTCCTGTCCGCCGCCTCCGCCCTCCGCTGCTCCACTTTGGCGACTTCGGTGATGCGGGAAAATGCTCCGCGATTGGCCAGATGCCCTCGGTGCTCTCCTTCGGCCGGTGCTAGGGGAGGGCGGAACAAAACCAGGAGGTAAAGAGGGAAAGGAAAGAATGACTGATGGTCACGGTTTGAGGAGCGGTGCCCTCCTGATTCCCTTCCTGACCACCCAGCCCAACCAGCAGACCCACTTTCGGGTTGGGGGGGCAGGTTCCGTGTATATAATTTTTCAGTGTTCCCCGGCGCCCGCCCCCCCGTTTGGGAATGGAGGGCAGATTGTGGCCTTCGGCCTGGGTTGGGGTGCTTTGGTGGGTGGTGACCTTTTTGACGCTGGGCGAACTTGAGCCGTCGGGCTGTACAGCATCTTATGTAACAGATCCCTGGGAGGCTTGTCCTGGGGGGGTTGTCTGGGAGGGTTGTCAAAGAGTTTGTGCGGATTAGGCTGCCGTGCCATCATTCATCAGCACTTGTTGTCCGGGTTGTCCAGGGTGTTGTCCAGGTTTTTTTCCGCCGAGGAGGAGGAAGAGGAAGATGAGGAGGAGGAAGAGGAGGAGGAGGAGGAGGAGGAGGAGGAGGAGGAGGAGGAGGAGGAGGAGGAGGAGGAGGAGGAGGAGGAGGAGGAGGAGGAGAGGAGGAGGAGGAGCAGGAGGAACAGGAGGAGCAGGAGAAGCAAGAGCAGGCGCAGGGGGAGCAGGAGGAGCAGGAGAAGCAGGAGGAGCAGGAGCAGGAGGAGGAGGAGGAGGAGGAGGATAAGCAGGACGTGCACAGGCGGTAGCGCCTGCAGACATGCAAGTGGAAAGTGTCGCCCGCGCGTCACAAGAAAGTTTGACTCCAATCCCTTACTGGGTTCGTGGATCCCTCAAGGCTTTCCGTTGAGCGTAGCAGCGTATTGGGCTGCGACCTCATGCTCATTTTCCTCCTGCTCATCCGCTTCCTCCTCCCAAATCCTCGTGCTCATCCTCCTGCTCATCCTCCTGCTCATCCTCCCCCTGCTCATCCGCTTCCTCCTCCCTCATCCTCTTGCTCAACCTCCTGCTCATCCTCCCGCTCGTCCTCCTCCTGCTCACCCTCCTGCTCAACCTCCTGCTCGTGCTCCTGCTCCTCCTCCTCCCGCTCATCCGCTTCCCCTTCGCCGTCCGCGGAGGGCTCGTGGAGGCGGCCCCCGGCGCCCGCGGGGGCGGAGTGGGGCCGGGCCCCGCCGCGCACGCGCACGGGGGGCCGCGGCGCAGGTGGGCCGACCTCGACGACGCGGACCTCGACGCCCTCCCGGGCGCTGTGGGGGGTGGATTGGGGAGGCGGCGAAGGAGAGGGATACCGGGCGGTGAGCGATGGTGAGCGATGGTGAGCGATGGTGACGGCGATGGTGATGGTGGTGGTGCTGATGATGGTGGTGGTGATGATTGTGTTCATCGGTATGATGATGCTGCTGCTGCTGATGCGGCTGCCGATGATGAAGATGATAACGATGCTGCTGCTGATGATGATGGTTATGATGATGATGACGATGCTGATGATGATTATGACGACGCCGATGACGATGACGATGACGATGACGACGTCGACGATGATGCAGATGCTGCTGATGATGATGATTATGATGATGATGATGATGACGGTGATGATGACGATACTTTTGTTAATGACGATGATGATGCTGCTGATGATGATGATGATGATGATGATGGTGATGATTATGATGATGATGATGATGACGAGGATTGTGTTGTTAGTGGTGGTGACTATCATGGTGATAATGCTGATACTGATGCTGCTGCTGATGATGATGCTGATGATGATGCTGCTGATGATGATGCTGAAGAGTATGAGGATTAGGAGCAGGATGATGATTGTGGTAGTGATGATGATGAAGGAAATACAATAATATCAATAATGATAATTTAATACTATTAATACAACCAATAACATTAATAGCAATGCTAAGAACAATACTACGCATACTAAGAAGAGGATGCGGAGGAGGTGGGCGAGGAGGAGGATGAGTACCAGGGAGGAGCGAGAAGGGAAGGAGGGCGGAGGACGGATGGGGGATGGGGAGGAGGCAGAGGAGCAAGAGGAGCAAGAGGAGGAGGAGGTGGAGGGGGAGGAGGAGTACCAGTTGTAAATCCAGGACGCATCAGCGTTGTTGCAAACAACACTGCCTCCAAGTTTCTTCTTCAACGGTCCCTACAACAATTCACATTCACAATGAAAGAAAACCGCCTGATAATCTTCAGTCGTGCCACATGTAATTCCTGGGCCTTCAACGCCGCGAACCAACATCACTGTTGCGTCCTGACAGTCTTACATCGGTCCAGAACACCATTCGTTTGATTACACATCGGGAATCAACGTGGCTTTTGCGTCCTGACACTCCTAACCCGTACCAGCATTCCATCTCTGAGACGTCAATCTCACGAAGCCTTGTAGCTGCTGGAAACTTTAAAGATGAACGTGCTCGGCGCTAAGGTGGGAGCCACATTTTCAAAAGGACCCGCCCTCCATCGTTAAAACAGCTGCAACATGCTAAGACGAATGTGCGCGGTGCTGAGGCGAGAGCCACATTTTGAAAAGGATGCGCCCTCCATCTTGGAAGCTGTTGTAAACTATTGCGGCGAATCTGCGCGGCGCTTAGGCGAAAACCACATTTTGAACATGACCCGCCCTCCATTTGAAACAGTTGAAAACTGTTAGAACGAACGTGGGCGGCGCTAAGGCGAGAGCCACACTTTGAAAACTTCCCGCCCTCCATCGTTGAGGCTATTGCCATTTTTGAAATTCAGGGTAATACATAGCGAGAACGTCTCAGACGTAACGCCCGGCATGCCCTGCAAGAACGTCTGGGGGTGCGACAGGGAGGAGTTCCTCATAATAACAAGTTCTGATGAAGGAAGAGGAGGAGGAGAACGAGGAGGAGGAGGAGGAGGAGGTTGAGAAGGACGAGGAGGAAAAGGAACAGGAACAGGAACAGGAGGAGGAGGAGGAGTAGGAGGAGGGAGGAGGAGGAGGCAGAGGAGGAGGAGGAGGAGGAGGAGGAGGAGGAAGAGGAAATATATGGTTGGAGGAAGAGCTCCACTGAAAACTCACGACCCATCAACGATCTTGCAATAACCCTCCCAATGTCATCAGCTATCTTCAACGCAGTTCTTGAAACAGTCGTGCGGGAATTCAAGAGGAAGTGGAGGAAGGACAGGATTGGACTTCATATGGAGTCGCGTTATTTGACCGACTTGAGGTTCGCTGACGACGTTCTTTTGCTTGGAACCAGCAGTGCGCAAGTGCGACGGATGTTGGCGGACTGCAGCGAGAAGGCGCGCTCTGCTGGATTGCTGCATCAAATGGGCAAGACAGAGATCCTGTCCAACGTGGCAGACCGCAAGGGAATGCTGCCACAAAAGGGCGTTGAAGTTGGCGACGGGATAGTCGAAGTCCTGGAGTACGAGGACAACACCAAGTACTTGGGCAGACAGTTGACGTTCAGTGATTACCACTACGTGGAGATCAACCGCAGGATCTCGAGGGGGTGGGCTGCTTTCGGAAATTTCAGATCAGAATTGTGCAATCGACGTGTCTTCCACGGTGCTGTTTGGAAGTGGTGCCTGGGTGCTCATTGCAGCGCGCGAGCAAAAACTCAACGCGATTATGCGAAATATGCTTCGGGAAATGGTTGGCGCACGCAGGTTGGATGACGAGCCATATGTCGATTGGCTTGTGAGAGCAGCCCATCGGGCAGTGGGGGGATTACTCGAAGACTGGGCTGCCCACTTGGCTTGAATCGCAAGCGTAGGGAAAGGAACGTTTATACCAGAAGCTACAGTCGTGCAGTGTCCGCAGGTGGGGGCAGGTTGCGCTGCGATGGGCGCCGCCTGGGCTTCGATTTGTTGAAGGCCATTAAAGAGATGGATTGACTAATTCGCGAGGGCGTGAGAAGGTGGCGGTTGCGAGAAAGCGCGCGTGAGAAGGCGAGGGTGCCCGCGGCAGCGCGCGAAGGGCGCGCCTCTGCGCGCGCCGCGCCTGACCTGACCTGACCAAGCAGTGCTTGCACTTAGGGGCTGTTGTCGTCGCCGTCGCCGCTTCGTCGCCGCCCGTCGTCTGGGCCGTGTGGCTAGTCTGGCGGCTATATCGTCGCCGTCGCCGTTCGGTCGCCTGCTCGTCGCTGCCGTCGCCGCCGCTGGATTGCACCGCGTAGATTGCGTGGCTAAAAAATTTGCGCCTGTGGCGAGCCACGTAGATTTGCATAACATATACTGCGCAACCGCATCCTGCGCCGTATATGTGTTAGCCAGCGTGGGCCCCAAGCAGTAAGTTTTTGCAAAATATGCGGTGCAATCTATGTGGTTCAACGTATGCGATGGAACATATGTAATGCAATCAATGCGGATCAACCTACGAGGTGCGAAATATGTGATGCAATCTACGCGCTGCAACTCATGTGATGCACTCTATGCTGTGCAACCTCTGTGGTTTGATTCACTTGCCGAACTTGAAGTTGTCAACTCCACTGCTCGCGCAATCATCCCGCCCGCCCACCCGCAACTTGGTTTGCAAAACCCATGCGGGAACGATTGCGATGAGTGCTGGGCGTTGGCTGGTACATCTTCGCGGCCGCGCGAGCTCGCAACGACTGCGACGACGCCGATGACGTCTCCGACGACTTCAACGACGCCGACAACGACGGCGACGACGACGACACCGACGACGACGACGCCGACGCCGACGCCGACGCCGACGACGACGACGACGACGACGACGACGACGATGACGGCGCCGACGACGCCGACGACGACAACGACGACACCGACGACGACAACGACGACGACGACGGCGCCGGCGTCGACGACGACGAAGACGGCGACGACGCCGACGCCGACGACGACGAATACGACGACGACGTCGCCAACGAGGACGACGACGAGGGAGGAGGGAGGACGACGACGGCGACAACGACGACAACGACGACAACGACGAGGGAGGAGGGAAGACGGCGACGACGCGAACGACGAAGCGAACGACGAAGAAGGAGGAAGGACGGCGACGCCGACGACGACGACGACGAGGGAGGAGGGAAAACGACGACGACAACGAGGACGACGGCGGCGACGAAATAGGAGGGGCGACGACGAGACGCTGACGACGGACGACGACGACGACGAGAGAGGAGGAGGAGGACGGGCGACCACGGCGACAACGACGACGGAAACGACCACGTCGCCAAAGAGGACGACGAAGACGAACGCGAGGAACGACAGAGGACGACGTAGGCGACGACGACGACGACGCGGGAGGACCGAGGACGGCGACGACGACGACGACGCAAGAGCGCGCGCGCACGCTTCTGTTGAAATCATTTTTTTTTTGTTTTTCTTTTACTTTGTTTTTTGATGACGCACGATTTTGAAATCGTTCCGAAACCGTTGGGTTTTGAAGGATTTCGGCATACGCGCGCGACGACGCGCGCGTCTGCACTTCGTCCCGTTTTTTGCAGAGGATTCTCGCGACGGCACTCGCGCAAGGGCGTTCGACAGGTTTCGACATGCGCGCGCGCGAAGCCCGTTTGGTAGCATTTTGTGAACACTTTGATGAACCCAAGGTTTTCTTAATATTTTGTCAGAGCTCGCGCGTAAGCTCTTGTAGCCAGTCAGCGTTGCGAAACCTTGTGTTTTTGTATTTTTTTTGAAACTCGATTGCGATATCCCTCCGACACCGAAGGTTTTTGAAAGATTTCGGCAAGCGCGCGCGACGACGAGCGCGCGTGCACTTCGTCCCATTGTTTGCAAGGGTTTCGTGCAACAGTCTTATGTTCGAACAAAAAGTCTCCGCGTATTTTTTACAAGGGAACCTCAGGGGTAGCGATCCCGGCCCCCCTGGAATAGTGCGAATTCATATCTAGGATGGACATGTGGTCAGAATCGCATATGATTTACATGCCCGAAAAGGGGGCGGATGACGGCGGGGGGGGGTTGTGGAGTTTATTCTTTTAAGAAAGGAGAGATACGCGGTGCAATCAATGCGTTGAAATTGATTGTAACGAACGAGTTGACACATCCCATGCCCTTGCAAACATCCCACCCATCCACCCGCGACTTGGTTTGCGCGGCCCATGCGGTGGCGATTGCGATGCGTGTTTGGCGTTGGCTGGTGCGTCTCTGCGGCCGCGCCAACTCTAGCGCGCGCGCGTGGCGGTCAGCTAGCTTGGCGCCGCCGACACGGCCGCGTTGGCGCTGACCGCTGGGCGCGCCCCAGCGGGCACTTCGCTGCGAGTCGGCGACTTGGGCGGGCGCGGTATCATAGCAACTTCGACAGCGGTAGAAGCGAGGATGATCGTAGCGGGGCTGGTGACGATGTTCGCGCCGACGAAGGCGTGGCCAGTGCGGGCGCCGATGTTGATCGCGCCAGCGACGATGACGGTGCCCTCGCGTCGGTGATGAAGATTTAGAAAAGATCGACATGCGCGCGCGGCCGACGCGCGAGAGTGGCCCGCATTGTATAATTTGACGCGGATCGTGCTCCCCTTCAGTACGCGCGCAAGGGCGCGCGGATGATGTCGGCATGCGGCGCCGCAGGCCCGCTTGGCAGAATTTGATTCCATTGTCGTGTTGATGCGCCCGTGGTTTTCGTAAGAATCCGCAAGCACGCGCTCGCAAGTTTTTCTTGACGCCTGATGTTGCGAAACGTTTTGTTTTGTTGGTTCACTCTTTTTTTCACATGTGTTTTATACATTCGGTTTTGAAATCGTTGAGGTGCCCGAGGTTTTTGAAGGAGTTCGGAGTGCGCGCGCGACGACGCGAACGTATCCCATTTCGTAGCATTTTCAGAATACTCGGAAACAAAGCCATATGTTTTTTTTCCAGGGTTCGCACGGTCGTTTTTTTCGTTCCCGATAGAAGCTCCTTGTTGCGAAACCATGTTTTTTGGTTATGTGTTTTCTTGGCGCTCGATTTTAACGTATCTCATATACCGAAGGTTTTGAATGATTTCGGCATGCGTGCGCGACGACGCGCGCGTGTGCACTTCGTCTTTTCTTGCAAGGGGTTCATGACAACGGATGAATTTCACCGAGCGGGTGTGCGCGCATAGTATATGTTCTAGGCGATGACGGGGGGGGATCGTGCACGGTTCGGCTGGGGTGGCGTGGGTTTTCATTTTTCGGCTTGACGGTGGGGCAGCAGCACATGTCCTCTGCAACGCAAAGTGGCGTGCCGATAAAGCCCTGGGGCGGTGGTGGTGGTGGGCCCGTATTTTTTCTGAAGGGGGAATTCGTGGCTGCAACCTATGTAATGCAGTCTTCGCGGTGCAATCCATGTGGTGCAATTAGTGTCTGTTCGCAGTGAGTTGCCCACTCCACTGCTCGCGCAGACATCCCACCCACCCGCCCGCAATTAGGTTTACAAGCCTCATGCGGCGGCGATTGCGATGAATGATGGGCGCTGGCTGGTGCAGCTGTGCGGCCGCGCCAGCCCGCGCATGCGCGCAAGGCGGCCAGGTAGTTTGGCGCGGCCATCGAGGCTGCAGTGGTGCTGGCCGTTCGGCACATCCCAGCGGGCACTTGAGTGCGAATCGGTGGCTTGGGCGGGTGCGGTGTCGTGGCATCGTCGACAAGTGTTGACGCGACGACCATGATAGTGGCGATGTTGGTGACGACAGTTGCAGACGTGATGATGATGACAGTGGTGATGACGGCGCGGACGCCGATCGCGCCGACGACGATGACGGCGTCTTTGCGTCGGCGATGAAGGTTTTGGAAGGAATTCGAAATGCTCCCGCGGCAGACGCGCGAGAGTGGTTCGCATGGTGTTCTTTGACGCGGATCGTGCCACCCCAGCACGCGCGCAAGGGCGTTCGAACGATTTCGACATGCGCACGCGCGAAGCCCGTTTGATAGTATTTTCCGAGCATTTTGAAACACCAGTGGTTGTTTCAAGAATTCGCACGAGTGCGCGCACGATTTTGCTGGTGCTTTTCTATGTGTTTGCATGTTCGATTTCGAATTCGTTCCGAATCCGAAGGTTTTTGAATGATTTCGGCACTGCGCGCGGGACGACGCACGCGCGTGCACTTCGTTGTATTTTTTCGCAAACGGATTCTCGCGACGGCCCGCGCGCAAGGGCGTTTGAACGATTTCGAAATGCGCGCGCGAAGCCCGCTTGGTATATTTTTTGTTTGTTTTTATATAAGAACTAATTGTTATCATTTTTATTCAAAAACTGAAAATGAAAATATCAAATGCAACATATATATGTATATGAAATTGTAATTCCTTGTTGCGACACCACGTGTTTGATTCTTTCTCGGCACGCGCTTTTGATCCCTTCCGAACCCGAAGGTGTCGCAAGGATTTCTTCATGCGCGCGTGACGACGCGCGCGCGTGCGCACCTCGCCTCGTCTTTTTGCAATGATTTTTTTGAAAACTTGGTTTTTGATAAGCGAGTGTGCGCGCATTGTATGTTCTTCATAGGAACCGAGGGGAGATCGATGCCTGTTAGGCCGGGGTAGTATGAGTTCACAGGTACGATGGATATTGGGTCAGCATCGTTTGCGTTTTACATTGGTTCCTGGGGGGTGGATAAGTCCGGGGGGGAGGGTGGTGGAACGCATTTCTCGTTTAGAAAGAAGAATCCACCAACGCTCAACTTGAACTTGCCCACTCCACTGCTCGCGCAAACATCCCGCCCGCCCGCCCGCGACTTGGTTTGCAGACCCCATGCGGCGGCAAGGCCCTCTTGGGGCTCGCTTGGGAGGCCTCTTGGTGGCCTTTCTGCGGGTCTTTACGCGTAGTGGGCCGTCTGGGAGCCATCGTGGGTGTCTCGGATCGAACGTTCGACGACTCGGAGCCCTCCTGGACCGTCTTGGGGGCCTCTTGGGGCCCTCTCGGCGCGTTCTGGGGGTCCTGAGAGGCCGCACCCAGGAGGAACACCATCCCCGAGTAAAGGGCTGCCAGGGATCGGCCGGGGTACTCTTGATCCGGGGACCCCCCGGGGGCGGCCCCGCGCGCGCGAACTAAAAAAATCCAAACTAGTTATTGGAGGTCTTAGCACGCTTCTGGCCCGTTGGGCCGGCGAATTGCCTCTCCCCCCCTCCGTCCTGCTCCCTCTTTTCCCTCTCCTTTCCCTTCGCCGCCCTTTCTCTTGCGCTTTGCCACCCTCCTCCTCGCCCTTCCTTCAGACGAGACGGCCCGCCAGGCGCCGCGGGGGGGGCCAGCTCCTCCTGGGAGCCCACCTCGGACGACGAGTTCGAGGATTCCGGTGTCTCGTCGCTGCCGCCGTTGCCGCCATCGTCGTCGCCGCCGCCGCTGCCGCCGTTGCCGCCGTCACCGCCGCCGCCGCCGCCGCCACCGCCGCCGCCTCCCCCGCCGCCGCCGCCGTCGTCGTCGTCGTGGTCGTCGTTGTCGTCGTCGTCGTCGTCGTCGTCGTCGTCGTCGTCGTCGTCGTCGTCATCGTCGCCGCCGCCGTAACCGCCGCCGGCGCCCGCGGTGGTGGCTCCTCTCGACCGTCTTTTTGTTTGTTCGGTTCCACAGTTCGGCCTTCCGCGGGCCACTTGGCGCATTGCGCGCGGCCTGATCGCTGCTCGAGCTTTATTGCAGGTTTCAAAAACGCCATCCAACAGCTGACAAGAACTGCAGCAGCGCCGTCGCCGAGGGCCGGCGGCTGGTTTCCCGCGGGCGCGTGGCCCCCAGGCCCTGGCGGGAATTGGCGAGGATCGAGTGTCCCTGAGATCCTGGCGTTCAATTTTTTCGAGAAGGGGGTTTTCGCTCGACCTCGGGCCCCCGGGTCCTCACAGGTCGATCCGGCTCGGACAATGACGCAGACAGATGGGGTCCAGGGGTCCGGTCGTGATTTTTTGCTGCAGCGTCGGATCTCAGGGGTCGATGTTCCCTGTGTTTAGTAGCCTGTCGTAACCATCGGCGTTCGGATGTCCGCGCAGGTTTCCTGGGCCGGCGGCGAGCGAGGGGGGGAAATCAGAAGGAGAAGGCCTTCTCAGAAGGCTCGGAAGTCCCCCAGCCTTCTGAGAAGTTTTCTAAGCCTTCCCCGAAGACACGAAAACGTCTCAGAAGGCCAGAGGGCTTCTGAGAAGTCCCGCCGCCTTCTGAGAAGGCCTTCTCCTTCTCATTTACCCCCCTCGTTCGTTGCCGAGGGTCGGCGCTGGATTCCCCCGTCCCAGCCCCCTCCTGCCTCCCCCTCCAGGGGGCCAGCCTCCTGCCTCCCACTCCAGAGGGCCAGCCTTCGGTCGGGTGTGCCCCTCTACAGGAGGACTATTCAAACATAAAAATAGTCAGGGGACGTTTTTTGATGTTTTTTGGTTTGGTAATTTCATTTTTCCTCCAAAATCCGCCTGTAGGGGACGTGCCCGACCTAAGGCCAGCCTCTTCCGCTGTGCGCTGGGCCAGCGCCAGTTTTGCAACTAGCTTTCCATCCTGGGCGCCGCACCACAGCGGGGTTCTCTTGACGGTGCTGTGGAGCGTTCGATCTCAAACAAATAATCCCCCTTCCTGGCCCCTCTGGCGCCCTGGAGGGGGGGGGACCCAGCCCCGAGCCCAAAGAAGCCGCGCGGAGCTCCAGAAGATCTCCAGAAGATCTCCGAAAGGGTCCGAAGGATCTCCGAAAACACCGAACAGCAAGAAAGATCCTGAAGGATCTCCGAAGACCCGAAGGACCCGAAGGATCTCCGAAGGATCCCAGACCCGAAGGATTTTCGAAGACCCGAAGGATCTCCGAAAGGATCCCCGACAGATCTCCGAAAGACCCGAAGGATACCGACGGATCTCCGAAGGGTCTGGGATCTCCAGAAGATCCCAGACCTGAAGGATTTTCGAAAACCCCGAAAGATTTCCGAAGGATCTCCGAATGATTCATTCAGTTTCTTACTGTTCTGGGCCTGTGGTTTCTGGCGGTCTGTTCGCCCTGCTTGGGTCTCGGGGGGTCTCCTCGTCGACCGCGGTTGGAGCCGCCTCGAGGTGGGGGAGGAGGAGGGGGAGGGGTCGGGGTCGGGCCAGAACGCGCCCCTGGTGAGGTCGGGGTCTGGGTCAGACACGTTTGGGGGTGCGACAGGGGTGACCAATCTGTAGTCCAAGAGGACAGAGGAGGACGAGGAGGACGATGAGTAGGAGGACGGGGAGGAGGAGGAGGAGGAGGAGGAGGAGGAGGAATAGGACGAGGAGGACGAGGAGGAGGAGGACGAAGAATGACGCTACGATCCCAGTCAGTTTAAGTCTGTTCATGTAAAGCGAACACTCGGCGTAATATACTAAGGGCGCGATACTAACAGTATTACGAATACTGACAAGAGTAACATGGGTACGAATCGCACAACCCATCATACGTTTACAAGGTAGAGTCATACTAATAACCAGCGAGCGCCAATGATAAGAAGCATGCGAAGACATACTACGACGAAAACTACCACTAAGCATTCAACGAATACTACTACCGATTCTAATGGCAGATGAACAAGGCAATACTACCTGTGATAATATTATGAATCCGAACCATAGTACTGACACTGCTACTGATGATGTAACTTGTTGAAGGACTTATACCACAAGGGTGCAGCAATAATACGGTACATGTACTAGTATGCCGAATTACATATTGCGAATAGCTACAATCGTAGGGGGGGTCAGGAGGAGGAGGAGGAGGAGGCTCCTTTGCCCGATGGGCCGCGGCATGAGGTGAGCCCGCGCAGCTCGGCCACACCGTGTACACGTCGGCTAGTGGGAACCGCCCCCCCTCCGTGCAACTGCTACATGCTACATGTACTGAAGTTTCTGGTCTCGACACTTCAGGGCCTCTCAAGCGCGAGCCCCATTTCGAGAAGGAACCGACGTCCATCCTTGTAACTGTCGCAAGCTTTTGAGACGAATGGTCGCGGCGCTTGGGCGAGAGCTCCATTTTGCAAAGGATCCGTTCTCCATCCTCACTCGCTGAGCTAAGGCGACAGCTGCAGGTTGAAATCCACCTGCGCTCCAGCATTTTCAAGATGTTGCAAGATGCTACGACGAATCTGTGCAGCCCTATGGCGAGAGCTCCATGATTGAAACTACATGGGTTCCATCCTCGTAACGGTTGCACACTTTGTGCGACGAAGTTGCGCGGCGCTCAGGGGAGAGCCCCATTTTTGAAACGACCTGTGCTCCATCCTTGAACCTGTTACGGTTTCCAAACATCAGGATCATAAGTGTAGAGGCAGTTCCAGGTGAAACGACTGGCCCGCCCTACCGACACGTCTTTGGGTGCGACAGGGAGGCGTCATCTGTGAGCAACATGAACAATTGAGGAGGGGGCTCTGGAGGAGGAGCAGGAGGAAGAGGGATGGGAGGGAGGGAGGGAGGAGGACGGAGGGCGGGAGCAGGGCCAGCGTGTCCGCCACGGCCGCGGCTGGCACTCGGCACGAGGAGGGATGTGGCCGGATGGTGCAGGGAGGGACCGCCGCCGCAGGCCGCCGCCGTCTCCGCCGCGGGTCGCCGTCGTCGCCGCCGCCGCCGCGGGCCGCCGCCGCCGCGGCCCGCCGCCGTCGCCTCCGCCGCAGCAGGCCGCCGTCGCCGCCGCCGCCGCCGTGGCGAGGCGCCGCCCTCGCGAGCGCGCGCCAGGACGGCGGCTACCACGAGCGGCTGGCCTCGCTCTACAGCTGGCACGCGCGCGCCGGCAGCACCAAGCGCGCCCCTCGGCCAGCTCTTCGTCTCCGTCGTCGTCGTCGTCGTCGTCGTCGTCGTCGTCATCGTCGTCGTCGTCGTCATCGTCGTTGGTAGGTGGGGCTGGCGTCAACGTCGTGGACGGGATTCTTCTCGTCGTGGTCGTTGGCAGCCGTTCCTGGAGATTTTCAGACGTCATTGTGTGCCCAGCGGCTTTCGGACGTCATTGTGTGCCCCTGGGCGTTCTCGGTGGGTCTTGGGTGCTTCCGGAAGGTTTCTTTAAGTCTGCTCTCGAAGTTCTCGGAAGGATGATGATGATGATGATGATGATGATGATGATGATGATGATGATGATGATGATGATGATGATAATGATGATGATGATGATGATGATGATGATGATGATGATGATGATGATGCTGATGATGATGATGATGATGATGATGATGATGATGATGATGATGATGATGAGAGAGGAGGAGGAGGAGGAGGAGGAGGAGGAGGAGGAAAGAGGAAGGGGGAAGAGGAGGAGGAGGATGAGGATGAGGAGGAGGAGGAAGAAAAGGGGGAGGAGCAGGAGGAGGAGGAGGAAGAGGAGGAGGAGCAGGACGAGGAGGAGGAAGAGGAGGAAGAGGAGGAGGAGGACGAGGAGGAGGAGGACGAGGAGGACGAGGAAGAGGAGGAGAAACAGAAGGAGGAGGAGGAGGTGGAGGAGGATGGCAGAGGGGATGCTGGGGGACGGTAGGGAGTGAGGGACATGGGCTCCTTCTCCCTCGCCGTTCTCTCAAGAAGAGGAGCATAAGGAGGAGGAGGAGAAGGAGGAGGAGGACGAGGAGGAGGATGAGGAGGACGAGCAGATGGAAGCAGAGCAGTAGGAGGGGGATGAGGGGTAGGAGGGCGCGCCAGGTGTATTTGCGCCATATTTGACGTGTCCGACATCTCCCTGACATTCCTTTCATTTCGTTGAGTCCTTCTGTTCGCAGGATCGTGTGTCGGGAAAGACCTTTGTCCCGCAAGGGCAATCTAATTGACTCAGGCGCACATGAAATCGCTGCCACTACACGAGGGGATCAACACGGCACGCCAGAGCCACTCGGGTGGGACACAAGCCACATGCGGATGCTTGGGTTCGGTCAGTGCCGCGGCGAGAGCGTTGTTCCGTTGGACGGAAATCCGATCGACATCCTCAAATGTGACACACGCTCAGCGGCAGCGCCGCTTCTTGCTTATGTGCTTATGCAACTCTGCGGCCGGCGATGCGGCGAGAGAGGCGTTCCGTTGGACGGGCACCTAATGCAGATCGTGCATGTGCCGCACGCTGCAGCGGGACCGCCAGCGTCGCTGGTGCAGGAGGACGGCCACCGCTGTGACAAGAGCGTCATTTCCTTGGACAGACGATCGACGAAGCTTTGCAGATGCGGAAAGTCCTACAGCGGGAACACCACCTTCATTGATGCAAGAGTACGGCCAGCGCTACGGCGAGAGCGGCGTTCCGCTGGACAGAGGCGCTCTGGAGATAAGTGCGACAAACGCTGCAGCGGTAGCATGAACATCTAGGTCGACAGTCCGCTGGGGACAATCCCTTGTGTAAGTTTAGTATCCGACGATCAGTGGGCTCAAACAACGAAAGTATCAGGGGCGAGGGATGAGAGTAGCATGCTTTTAGTGCAACTGTGGAGGAGACGGGTGAGGAGGAGGAGGAGGAGGAGCAGGAGGACGAGCAGGAGGATAGAGGAGCATGAGGACGAGCAGGAGGAGGAGGAGGAGGAAGAGGAGGAGGAGGAAGAGGAGGAGGAGGAGGAATGGGATGTGTATTACCCGCACTCGGACAGATCAGGCCTCGCCTGATTGGCACCCATAGCAAGCGGCATGAGTAGTCTACCCAGAAGCACTCTTCTGCAAATCTCAGTTCTCTCGAACACCCTCCTCCTCCCACCCAGTCTGCTGCTGCTGCTGCTGGTGGTCCTCCTTCGCCCGTCCCAGCAGGGCTAGAGGCAGCACCCCTGCAGGGCTGGTGCGATCATGTTCACGTGGGCTGTGCCTCCAGATCCGATCAGATTTCTCTTATGCGAAGTCTCTTGGTATGAAGGCCAGTCGCACTTTTGGATCTCACGTGTTCTGGTCTGGCCTCGTCCTTCTACCTCCTCCTCCTCCTCCTCCTCCTCCTCCTCCTCCTCCTCCTCCTCCTACTCCTCTTCCTCCTCCTCCAAGCGAATCCGAGGACTCTCGACCCCGTCCCCGGGACTGGTCCATCGCCGCGGATATGTTTTCTGGGCTGTTCTTGGCGCGCAAACAATGCCAGAAGGCCAGACCTGTAAGCAAAAAGTGTCTGTCGCGACGTTTCGGCTTCTGCACGTTGTCCTCGGACAGGTGGTTATTTTCCGTCTCCCGGGAGGGTCAACGCTCAGGGTAGTAGCCATTGGATTGCCAGCGGTTCCGCCTCTTCTGCGGGAATTCGGAGCGGATGGAGGAGGAATGAGGGGGAGGGAGGGAGGAGGGAGGAGGGAGGAAAGAGCAGGGAGGGAGGCGGGGGGGAGGGAGGGTGGGAGGGGGTGGCAGGAGGGAAGGAGGGAGAAGGATGATGACGATGACGATGACGATGACGATGACGATGACGATGATGATGATGCTGATGATTATGCTGATGATGATGATGATGACGATGATGATGATGCTGATGATGCTGCTGCTGCTGATGACGATGACGATGAGGATGGTGGTGATGATGATAATGCTGCAGATGATGCTGATGATGATGCTGATGATGATGCTGATAAGGATGCTGATCTTGATGATGCTGCTGCTGATGACGATGATGATGCTGATGATGATGATGCTGACGGTGATGATGACAATGCTGCAGATGATGATGCTGATGATGATGCTGATGATCATGCTGATAGTGATGCTGATCTTGATTATGATGCTGATAATGATGAAGATGATGAGACTGATGAGGATCATGGTAATGATGATGTTGACGACGATGATGATGATGATGATGATGATGATGATGATGATGATGATGATGATGATGATGATGATGATGCTGAGGATGATGATGCTTCTGATACTGATGATGCGGCTGCTGCTGATGATGATGATTGTTTTTTATGATGATGATGCGGCTGCTGATGACGATGATGCTGCTGATTCTGATGATGATGCTGCTGATGACGATGATGCTGCTGATTATGATGATGATGATGATGATGATGATGATGATGATGATGATGATGATGCTGATGATGCTGCTGCTGATTATGATGATGATGATGATGATGATGATGATGATGATGATGATGATGGCTGCTGATGATGATGACGATGATGCTGATGATGATGATTATGATGATGATGCTGCTGACGATGATTGTGCTGATGCTGCTGCTGCTGACGATGATGATGATGATGATGATGATGATGATGATGATGATGATGATGATGATGATGATGCTGCTGATTATGACGATGATTGCTGCTGCTGCTGATGATGATGATGCTGATGATGATGCTGCTGCTGATGATGATGATGATGATGATGATGCTGATGATGCTGCTGCTGCTGCTGATGATGATGATGATGATGATGATGATGCTGCTGCTGATGATGATGATGATGATGATGCTCACGATGCTGCTGCTGATGATGCTGATGATGACGATGAGGACGAGGACGAGGATGAGGATGATGATGATGACAAGGATAAGATGCTGCTGATGATGATGATGATTCCCCCAGATGATGATGATGACGATGATGGTGATGACGATGATGATGAGGAGGAGGAGCATGAGGACGAGGATGATGATGAGGATGAGGGTGAGGATGAGGATGATGATGATGATGATGATGATGATGATGATGATGATGATGATGATGATGATGATGACGAGGATGATGAGGATGATAATGTTGATGATGAGGATGAGGATGAGGGTGAGGATGAGGAGATGATGAGGATGAGGATGATGATGAGGATGAGGACGAGCATGAGGATGAGGATGAGGACGAGGATGACGATGATGATGATGATGATGATGATGATGATGATGATGATGATGCTGATGTCGAGGACGAGGATGAGGATGACGATGAGGATGATGATGAGAATGAAGATGAGGATGATGATGACGAGGAGGAGGAGGATGAGGACGAGGATCTGGATGCGGATGAGGATGATGCTGATGATGCTGATGATGCTCATGATGATGCTGATGATGCTGATGATGCTGATGATGCTGATGATGACGATGCTGATGATGAAGCTGAAGCTGCTGCTGCTGCTTTGATGATGATGTTGTTGATGATGGTGGTGGTGGTGATGATGGTCATGATGTTGCTGCTGATGATGCTGATGATGATGATGCTGATGCTGATGCTGATGCTGATGATGATGATGCTGATGATGATGATGATGATGATGATGCTGATGATGATGATGATGATGATGATGATGATGGCTGCTGCTGATGATGAATGATGATGATGATGATGATGATGATGATGATGATGATGATGATGATGATGATGATGATGATGATGATGATGATGATGATGATGATGATGGTGGTGGTGGGGTGGTGGTGGTGGTGGTGGTGGTGGTGGTGATGATGATGATGATGATGATGATGATGATGTTGAGGAGGAGGAGGAGGAGGAGGAGGAGGAGGAAGGAGGAGGAGGAGGAGGAAGAGGAGGAGGAGGAGGAGGAGGGAGGAGGAGGAGCAGGAGCAGGAGGAGGAGGAGGGCGAAGGATGGAGAGGAGGTCTCTTGAGGTCTTTGAGGTCTCCAGGTCTCCGGAGGCCCCCCAGAGGCCTTCGGAGGCTCCCGAGGTGCTTCAAACTAGCAAGCCACGGCCAGAAGCCAGGATCCTCGATCCTCGAAGCTCCTCCCCTTTCGGCCAGGAAGAGGGCGGTGGGGGATGGGGAGGGGCGGAGGAGGAGGGAGGCCCCCTCCTCCCTCCTGCCTCCTTCCTCCTTATCGTCCTCCTTCTCCTCCTTCCTCCTTCCTTCCTTCCTTCCTTCCTTCCTTCCTTCCTTCCTTCCTTCCTAACTTCCTTCCTTCCTTCCTGCCTTCCTTCCGTCCTTCCTTCCTTCCTTCCTTCTTCCTTCCTTCCTTCCTTCCCCTCCTTCCTCCTCCTTCTCCTCCTCCTCTCCTCCTCCTCCTCCTTTTTGTCCTCGTCCCTCCCCTCGCCCCTTCCTCCTCCCCCCTCCTCGCTCGTCTCCCCCCCCTCCCCTCTCCTCCCCCCCTCCCCGTCCCCCCCCTTCCCCTCCTTCCCTCCTCCCTCCCTCCCCTTCCCTCCCCCCTCGCTCTCCGCGAGGAGCCCGCGCGCGCCGCGCGCAGCAGCAGCGGCGACGGACGGCTCCCCACGACCCCCCCCGCGGGCTGCCCAGGCTCGGCCTCCTCCGGTGCCCGCCCCCGCCGGGCGCCGCGGAGGCCCGCCGCCGGGCGAGCGGCCGCCGCCGCCGCGCGAGCGACGAGGATCGAGGATCGAGGAGGAGGAGGAGGAGGAGGAGGAGGAGGAGGAGGAGGAGGAGGAGGAGGAGGAGGAGGAGGAGGAGGAGGAGGAGGAGAGGAGGAGGAGGAGGAGGAGGAGGGAGGAGGAGGAGGAGGAGGAGGAGGAGGAGGAGGAGGAGGAGGAGGAGGAGGAGGGAGGAGGAGGAGGAGGAGGGGGAGGAGGAGGAGGGAGGAGGGAGGAGGGGAGGAGGAGGGGGAGGAGGAGGAGGGGAGCGAGGGGAGGAGGAGAGAGGAGGAGGAGGAGGAGGAGGAGGATCGGGGAGAATCGAGGACCGGGGATCGAGGATCGGGGATCAAGGAGGAGGATCGGGTAGGAGGAGGAGGATCGGGGAGGATCGAGGATCGAGCGCTCCGTGATAAGGATCGAGGATCGAGGAGGAGGAGGAGGAGGAGGAGGAGGATCGGGGAGGAGCCCAAGCCTCCGACGTCGCGAGAGGCTCAGGACTAAGGTTTTGGGCAATCTTCGGCCCCCAGGAGCGTCAGGAAACGACTCGGGATGCCAAATTGGTCCTGGGGAAGGTCTCCAGACCTCCAGGGGCCGTCTCTGCGAGAAACTCACGGCGTCGGATCTCAGGGAGGGTCGAGGGTCGAGGCGGATCGAGGCTCGAGGATCTAGGAGGATCGAGGAGGATCGAGGATGGGGGAGCGGCATCGGGGAGGACTGCCTCGAGGATCGAGGATCGAGGGTCGAGGAGGAGGAGGGGGGGGAGGCTGGATGCCCCCCACCTCCGAGGGTTCGGCCCCGCCTCGCCAGCGCGCCCGGCCGAGGGAGGAAAGGGCGGCCCCTCGGCGCGCGGCGGCCGTTCGGCCACGGGGGTCGGCCTGCGGCTGTTGGCGAGGGTGCCGCCGCCCCCCCTCCCTTTTCCTCCTCCTCCTCCTCGATTCCCCTTCGCCCTTCCCGCTCCTAGACCCCTCTGCCCTCACGAGTACCGATCCCACAGAGTAGGGAAGTACTTGTAGGATAGCGATTTCATGACTCGTTTCCTATTGCTAGCCTGGGGACTGGTGCTTCTGGAGGGCGACCTAGAGGCTTTCCCCAACGGCCGTCCTTTAAGCCAGAGGAGTTCCCCAGCGAAGCCGCTGGTAGGCGTTCTCAGGCGCAACACAGAGCCACTCCATATTACAAGACTGCTGACAGAAGTAGTCGGCGTTCCCATAGGGCTCCAGACACGAAACTATGGCTCGCAAGTGGTCTTGTCTTGTCTTGTACTCCTCCTCCTCCTCGTCCTCCTCCTCCTCCTCCTCCTCCTCTTCCCCTTGGCGCTTGGCACGGAGCTCGCTGGTCGGACTTCGGGTTGCGCGCAGGCAGACCCCCCCCAGATGAGCGACGAAAGACAACGGGGTCGACGACGCCGACACTCTCGCGGTAGTCTGCCCGCCTCCGGTCGCGCGTGAATTCCTTCGCTTGCAGTGTGGCGTGCCGCGCTGGCAGTTCGCGGAAACCGCGGCTGAAGGTCGCTACGTCATCTCGCGTAAGACCCGTTTCTTTTCGCCGCTCAGGTGGTGCCGGCTGGCCTTGAGAGGCCCCCCGATTTGGGACGTCCAAGGAGGGGGGAGGTGACTAGGGGGGATATCATGGCCAGGGCCATGATATCTCCCCAGATTTTATGGCGCCTCTTTTCATGGCGCCTCTTCTTTCTCAACCATCCTGTGGTGTTGGGTCCACGTTTTGAAGAGACAGCGCCCCGCGTCTCCTCACTCACTCCTCCTCCTCCCCCTATTCCCTCCTTCCGTCACCCCCCTCACTTTGGCACACCCCTCACACGTTTCGCGGTCCCATAGGGAGTTCCACCGCAGGCCCCAGTGGGGGTGCCCGCATGCGGTCCCCACACCCATTTCGGCACACCCATCACACGTTTCGTGGCCCTCACGGGGAGCTCCACCGAAGGGCCTAGTCGGGGTGCCCGCATGCGGTCCACACACCCATTTCGGCACACCCCTCACACGTTTCGTGGCCCCATTTGGAGCTCTACCGAAGGCCCTAGTGGGGGTGCCCGCATGCGGTCCCCACACCCATTTTGGCACACCCCTCACACGTTTCATGGCTCCATAGGGAGCTCCACCGAAGGCCCTAGTGGGGGTGCCCGCAAGCGGTCCCCACACCGCTTTCGGCACACCCCTCACAAGTTGCGTGGCCCCATGGGGAGCTCCACCGAAGGCCCTAGTGGGGATGCCCGCAAGCGGTCCCCACACCCATTTCGGCACACCCCTCACACGTTTCATGGCCCTATAGGGAGCTCCACCGAAGGCTCCAGTGCCACCTTCCACTTGCGTCCTTCACACCCATTTCGGCACACCCCTCACACGTTTCGCGGCCCCATAGTGAACTCTACCGAAGGCCCTAGTGCCACCGCCCGCATGCGGTCCCCACACCCATTTCGGCACACCCCTCACACGTTTCGTGGCCCCATTTGGAGCTCCACCGAAGACCCCAGTGCCACCGTCCACATTCGGTCCCCACACCAATTTTTGCCCCCCCCCCCCCCCCCCCACCCCCCCCCCCCCCTTGCATGTTTCGTGACCCCATAGTGAACTCCACCGAAGGCCCAAGTGCCACCGCCCACATGCGCCCCCCACACCCATTTCGGCACACCCCTCACACGTTTCGTGGCCCCATAGGGAGCTCCACCGCAGGCACCAGTGCCACCTTCCATTTGCGTCCTTCACATCCATTTCGGCACACCCCTCACACTGTTCATCACCCCATAGTGAACTCCACCGAAGGCTTCAGTGCCACCGCCCGCATGCGGTCCCCACACCCATTTCGGCACACCCCTCACACGTTTCGTGACCCCATTTGGAGCTCCACCGAAGGCCCCAATGCCACCGTCCACACGCGTCCGCCGCACCCGTTTCGGCACACCCCACAAAGGGTTCGTGGCCCCATAGGGAGCGCCACCGAATCACAATTGCGTTGCGCACACCTGCATATGGTTGGGTCCTTCGCCAGGCTAATTTTGATACGTCCCTGGCCCCGCCCCCGTGGGCCGCGCGCATGCCGCTGGCCATGACTTGTGCCCCTCCCTCTTGGACGCCCCTCTCTTTGGACGCCCCCGACCCGAGCAGTCCCAGCTGGCCTCAACGGGCCCCCCCTGAGTGGTCAGGGGCGGTCTTCACTCCTTGGCGCCGCATCCGGCGGCGGCCCTGGAACGCTGCGCGCCCGAGGGCTGAGGTGCTGAGGCCGCCCCAGGCTGTCGGGCCGAACGAAAGGGAGGGATCGGGAAAGGGGGGGTATGGCATCTGCTGCATGCAGCCGGTTTCGGCCCCGCCGCCGGGCCCCCTTCCTCGGTGCATGGGCGCCTCCCGGCGCCGGGAGGCGCTGGGAAAAATCAGCTCGTGAGCTGATTCTCTACCCTACCCTTTGATATCCCTCCCTTTCGTTTCCCCCGAGACTACTGAGGGAGGCCTGCTGGGACTACCTGGGGGGGTATGTGGCGCTGTGTGTGCGCAAGCCGAAGCCTTGCCAGCGCTCGGAGTATCCACATCCTTGCCCCAGCGGTCCCGATACCGCGGCGCGAGCCCAGGGATGCGCGATCCCGCTATCCCAGGGGTGCGTCTGCACGGGGCAGCTTCGCAGAGCTGCCCTGTAGATCTGTGGGTTTTGCTGCCGCGATGCCGAGGGTATAGACCCGCTTCCCGCCCGCGAGTGTCGCCACCGCCTTCGTCGTCTGGGTCGTCAGTCGTCGTCCTTCGTTGTTGTCTTTCGTCCGTTGTCGTCCTTCGTTGAACTGATGCTGATGATGATGAGGATGAGGAGGGGCGATTAGAGGAGGAGGAGGCAGAGGAGGAGGAGGAGGATGAGGATGATGCTGCTGCTGATTATGGTGATGATGATGCTGCTGCTGATGATGATAATGCGGCTGATGATGCTGCTGATGATGTTGCTGATGATGATGATGATGAGGCTGATAATGATGATGTTGATGCTGCTTATGACCATGCTGCTGCTGATGATGATGATGCTGCTTCTGACTATGATGAGGTTGCAGATGATGCTGATGATGACGATGATAATGATGTTGATGCTGCTGCTGATGATGTTGCTGATGATACTGATGATGACGATGAGAGTGATGCTGATGCTGCTGCTGATGATGATGACGCTACTGACGCTATTGATGCCGATGATGATGATGGTGATGATGCTGATGATGCTGATGATGCTGATGATGACGATGCTGATGATAATGATGCTGATGATGCTGATGATGATTATGAAGCTGATGATGCTGCTGATGATGATGATGCTGATGGTGATGGTGATGGTGGTGGTGGGGATGATGATGACGAAGATGATGGCGACGGCGACGATGGTGATGACGATGCTGATGATATGGTGTTGATGATGCTGATTATGCTGTCCATGACGATGATGACCTCGACGGATATGATTGTAATGCTGATGAAGAGACTGATGATGCTGATGTTGATGATGCTACTGCTCATGATTGTGTTGGTGGGTGTGCTGATGATGGCTAAAATGGTATTGATGATGAGGATGATGCTGATGATGATGATGATGATGAGGATGCTGCTGATGATGATGCTGATGCTGTGTTTGATGATGATGCTGATACTTACGATGGTGATGACGGTGACGATGGTGGCGATGATATGGACGTTGGAAGCAGGATGAGCGTATTCGTAATACAATTACCAAAAATATGTCAATTTTGACGACTACGATGATGATGGTGATGCGGATGCTGCTGAGGATGACGATGGTTATGATGGCGATCATGATGTTGTTGTTGTTGTTGTTGTTGCTGTTGAATTGCCTTTCTGAATAATCATTATTGTTGTTGCCTCCTCCCCGGTAACCAGTGCATTTTTTCAATTAAAGTACTTCTCCCGGGGGTCGCACCCGGTTCTTTACAAGGGGCAGCGAGGTGCCACCAAATTGTGTTGTTGGGCCTTGGTCTACAACAACAACGGCCCCCGCCTGAGGATATTTCCTCACAGTGTATTCCCAAATCGCGTTCTCGCACGGGATTTACTGACGAATTATGCAGAACTCGCGCTCTCGCCTAGGACTTCCTCACAGTTTATGCAGTCGCCGTGCCCTCGACACTCAAGAGTCACGCTTTCGCTGTGGATTTCCTCACGATTAATATGGGAATTGCGCTGTCGCTCGAGACTTTCTCGCGATTCATGCAGGACGCACGCTTCAGCAACCCGCCTGCTCGACCTGGCCGCCTGGGTCCGCCTTCCCGACCCGCCCATTAGGGCCTACCTGCCCGCCCGATCTGCCCGTCTGGCTCTGCCACCTGTTTTCTGCTCCTGGCCCCTCTCCTGCTATTCTCTCTCGTGCTCCATCCTCGTTCCTCTCCCTTGTTCCTTCCTTCCATCAGTCCTCTCTTCCCCTGCCTTAGGGGCTGCACGAAATACACGTTGCAGGTAAGAATGATAGACCCTCAAGTGGGGTACGATCGAATAAGAAAAGAGCGGGTATCGAGGGTTTCGGATGTACGCGTTGAATGGCACGCGAGCAGGTAAGAGCGAACAGTCTTAAACTGATTGTTGTTTTTGTTGATGTCGTTGTTGTTAGTGTTGTTGTTGATATTGATGTTGCTGCTGCTGTTGTTGTTGTGGTTGTTGTTGTTGATGTTGTTGTTGCTGCTGTTGTTGTTGCTGTTGTTGTTGTCGTTGCTGTCGTGGTTGATGGTGGGGGTGGTATTGATGCTTCTGAGTATGATGATGATGCTGCTGATGATGCAGTTGATGACGATGATCATGAGGATGAGGATGAGGATGACGGTGATGACGATGATGATGCTAATGGTGATGATGATGATGGTGATGGTAATGATGATGGTGATGCTGATGATGAGGATGAGGATGATGCTGATGCTGATGATGCTGATGCTGATGATGCTGATGCTGATGATGCTGATGATGCTGATGATAATGATGATGAAGCTGACGCTGATGCTGCAGATGATGATGCGAATGATGATGATGATGATGATTAGGATGATGGCGTGGATGAGGATCACGATGATGCTGATGCTGATGATGATGATGCTGATGCTGATGATGATGATGATGCTGATGATGATGGTGGTGGTGGTGGTTGTGGTGGTGGTGATCGTGATGGTGATGCTGATGATGGTGATGATGGTGATGGTGATGGTGATGATGACGATGATGATGACGACGATGCTGATGCTGCTGATGATGATGACGATGACGATGATGCTGATGATGACGATGGTGATGGTGATGGTGATGGTGATGGTGATGATGAAGGTGATGATGATGTTCATGGTGATTGTGATGGTGATGATGCTGATGATGATGACGATGATGACGATGATGATGATGATGGTGATGCTGATGATGATGATGATCATGATGATGATGCTGATGATGATGACGATCATGATGGTGGTAGTGGTGGTGATGACGATGATGGTGATGGTGATGATGATGCTGCTGCTGATGATGATGATGCTGATGATTGTCATGATGATGCTGCTGCTGCTGATGATGATGATGATGGTGATTATAATGCTGCTCATAATGATGGTGTTGGTGATGATGATGATGGTGATGGTGGTGATGGTGATGGTGATGGTGATGGTGATGGTGATGGTGATGATGATGCTGATGATGGTGATGGTGGTGCTGGTGATGGTGATGGTGATCGTGATGGTGATGGTGATGGTGATGATGATGATGATGATGGTGATGATGATGGTGATGATGATGATGACGATGACGATGATGATGCTGATGATGATGATGATGATGATGATGGTGGTGATGGTGGTGGTGGTGATGATGGTGGTGAAGATGATGATGATGATGATGATGATGATGATGATGATGCTGATGATGATGATGATGATGATGATGAGGATGAGGATGATGATGATGATGATGATGATGAGGATGAGGATGAGGATGAGGATGAGGATGAGGATGATGATGATGATGATGATGATGATGGTGGTGTGGTGGTGGTGGTGGTGATGGTGATGATTGATGATGATGATGATGATGATGATGATGATGATGATTGATGATGATGATGATGATGATGATGATGATGATGATGATGCTGCTGCTGATGCTGCGCTGATGATGATGATGATGATGATGATGATGATGATGATGATGATGATGATGCTGATGATGATGATGATGATGATGATGATGATGATGATGATGATGATGATGATGATGATGATGATGATGATGATGATGATGATGATGACGACGACGACGACGACGACGAGGGTGGAGGAAGGAACCAGGTACTTGAGCACAAACTTTCGAATTTTCGCGCGGATTTCTTGGATCGGCGCTGGACCCCCTTCCGGGCGCGCAGAGCGCGGCTGGGGCGCTGGAGCTGCCGCCAGGGGGGTCTAACGCCGATCCGAGTTATCCGTGCGGACCTCCGCCAGTTTATGTGCATGTTGTTGTTCGTTCCTTTAGAGGAAGGGGTGGGGAATGGAGGAGGGGAGGATTCTCCTCCCGTTCTTAAGAGGGAGGAGGATAATCCTCCGCTCCTCCGTGGCGCTTTGTAGGATGACGTGGCCGACTGTTACACTGCCCGCCGATGTGCGTCGCAACTCAGCTGGGAATCACAAAGCAGGCCCATCGGGCCCCTCACCTTTCCAGCGTGCTCTCAACCCGTGCGCACCTCCGGCGGAGGGACTCCCTGGGCGGGGAGGCTGCACTGCGGCGGCGGAGCTGTGTGTGTGTGTGTGTGTGTGCCCAGTTTACTCCGTTTCGCCTCTTCCGGCTTCCCGAACTAGGCAGCTCGCTTCTCTCTCCCTCGCTCCCTCCCTCTCGCCCTCCTCCCTCTTCTCTTTCCCGCTGGCCCGTCTTAGCACGGCGAAGTCCCCTTCTCATCTGTGGGGGAGGTTAGGCACATTTCACCTCAGGGCCTTCTGTCGGTGCAGAAACGAAGCTCCGTCACTCCTCTTCCTCTCCCCGTTTCCCACAGTCTCGCGACGCGAGTTTCCTGAATGGTGGTTGCGCACAGTCAAGACGCCGAAATAAGGACCACTATGAGCTCAGGAGGGGCTCCGAGTTTCCAGCCGTTCCTTCGATGCAGGTCGGGGGAGCTATATTCGTGGCCGAAGCTAGCCGTGGCCACGAAAAGCCCCTTCGTCCCTCACTCCGCGTCCCCCTTGTGGAGACCACGGCCTCCACGCCATGCCCTAATTGGCACGGGCGGGCTCCCTTGCGGAGTGCCCACGACTCAGGCGTTCGCTCCGCTCCGCTCCGCTCCGCTCCGCTACGCTTCCCTCCCCCCGCAGCCTCGCGAGGCGCCCTGCGGTGCCTCGTCCCGTGTGCCGCATGCCCTGCCGCGGAATCTCCGGCAGCTCCCCCGCCAGCAGTTCGCGCCGCCGCCAGGAGCGCCTCTGCGGCGGGTGGAGCGAGGCGCCCCTGATTGTTGGGGGGCAGAAGGGTGGAGCGAGGGCGAAGCGGATGTCGAAGAAGGAACATGTTGCACAGACATGAGTTTTCGGAGCTCCGTGCAGATTTCTTGGATCAACGCAGGGGCCCCCCTGGCGCGCTCCGTGCGGCAGTTAGGGGGTCCAGCGCCGATCCGAGAACCCCGCGTGGAACTCCGAAAGTTTATTTCTATGCAGTTGTTTTTGTTCGTCACGATCAGGGACGTTCAATTGTGAACAACAGGTATTGTGTCAATAGTTTCCATCCCTCCCCAGCCGCCTCTCTTGTATCATCTTTGTCCCATCCTTCTCCTGCTTCCACTCCTACTTGTGACGAGAGCGTTCCAAGAGCAGTGCGGTAAATTCGACAGCTGCTGCTGACACTGCGGGGTGAGCACACAGCTCCTCGTCAAGGGCTTCTTCTTCGTCAGTTCATTGGTAGCGGCACTGGTACGGCAGGTCCGTGTTGTGCCGACGCGGCAGCGACCCCGCCGCGGGCGTTCGAGGTTGAACGCCGCCAGTGGTCCAGAATCGGCCAATCTGGAACCGATCGAAGATCTTTCACAATGTTGAACGATCCACGCGGTGTCTGGGAAACCACCGCCAGGGCCGTCACGGCACGAACCTGCCGTAGCTACTTCACGGAGTTGGGCGGTGCCGAGAAAAAGTTCAGGATCCCGCGCGTGCTGAGCCTCGCGAGGCAGGCGCTCTGGGCCACCGCTCCGCGTCCGCCGCTTCCGCCTCGGGCCAGCGCGGGTGTGGACGAGGCCGTTGCAGCGGGCGGGTATCCGGCGCGCCCAGCTGCGGCCCAGCGCTGGGCGCAGGCGCTGCGGCCTTGCGCGTTGTCTGAGGTAGTGCCACGGAGGCCGTGGACCTCGAGCGCAACGGTGGTGCAGCGCGTCGTGCTCGGAGATTCCGAGGACAGGCTGCTGGATGAGGAATCGCCACCCACCAGACCACCCCAACCCAACACGAGGCCTCAATTTGCCCTCCATTCCCAGTGGGGGCGGGGTCGAGGAACACCGGAAGAACACATCGCGCCGCGACCGCTGCTCCTCTTGCCCCGCCACTGCCCCGCGAGGGCCCGGCGGACCGCCCTCCTGCTGAACCCAGCGCGCTCGCGCCCGCGGGACCGACGAACGGCTAGCGGCCAGGCCCAGCCCGTGACCTCCGACACGTGTGTGTGTGTGTGTGTGTGTGTGTGTGTCTGTGTGTCTGTGTGTGTGTCTGTGTGTGGCTTCCGTCTCCCTCCCGCCCGCGTCGCGCCTTCCCCCTCCTCCTCACGTGCATCGCGGCTTGATTCGCAATTGTATGCCCTACATTTGCCCCATCCGCCAGCGCAGTCACTCTGTCTAGCCGCCGACGTAGAAAGTGTGTGTGTGTGTGTGTGTCTCGCGAGCACTCCAGCCGTGGGCGGAGACCCAGGCGGTGACACACCAGGCTTCTTTCCCTTCACCGTTTTCCTCGCCGTCCTTGGTCCACTGCCTTCCTCTCCCCTCCTCGCCCAGCGGGCCGTCCGCCCGCGCGCTTCCCCCCGCCTCGCACAACCACGCCGGGTTGGCTGCGCAGCGCTCTCGCGCAATCGCCCCATGTGGGACGTCCCGCGTGGGCAGCGCCATCCCTCCCCGCTGTCCACGCCCGGATGGCTCACAGTA